GATAGATGATAGATGATAGATGATAGGTGATAGGTGATAGGTGATAGGTGATAGATGATATATAATATATGGTATATGATAGATGATAGATGATAGGTGATAGGTGATAGGTGATATATGATATATGATATATGATATATGATATATGATATATGATATATGATATATGATATATGATGATATGTATATATATATGATATTATGATATGTATGTAATATCAACGATTTCAGACAGTAATGGGAAGCGCCGGGCTTGATGCCGTGGCAAGTTTCGGAATATCGAAGATGAGGAAGAGAAGGAAAATGAAAGTAGCAGTCACCATCATGTCGTTAGCATCACTAGCAAGGATCGCCGGCACTGGCTGCAATTGACGGTTGTCATCAATTTTTGTCGACCGGCTGTTGTTAGTGGCATGCTTTGCATTATCATCATAGTGCCGTGAAGAGTCTTCTCCATGCCGGAAATTCGTCGAAACATTCGCAACGCCTTGAAAACCACGACAAGAAATCCCGACGCACCACGGCAGCTGTTTCGGCCTTATAGGGTTGGGTTGAAGCAGATTTGGGGTTTGAGGTTCCGGAAGAGAAACGAAAGAGAGGGCGCATCGCAAGACCACAAGACAAGTCCTACGCAGGAGTAAGCATAACAGCACTCTCTTCTTCCTGTTGCAGAAATGGTCTGGTCGTAGGGTTATCCGACATGAGAGGCTCATTTGCTGGGGCTCCAGTGTTGGAAGTCAGACCAAAGAGCGAGGAATCGCTGCGCGAGGATTTGGCGCGGCTGAGGAGCCAGTCCCTGGCCCAGGGAGCCGGGAGTGACCAGGAGAGAGAGCCCCAAAGAACTCGAGACAGATGCCAGAGGCCTTCTTTTTCGTGGGCGAGTCTAGTTGCAAGACTTCAAAGGTATGCCGCCGTCAGACGCGAGGGTGCTGAGGTGCGATGGGGGCTACTGCCGGGCTGTCAACCTGCTTCGCTTTTTGTTTTAAAGTTTTGCAGCTTGCCCTTTTCTGTCTGCCTATGCATCGTGGAAGACTGTCGTCCACCATTCACAACCGTGGGATTACTGTCTCACGCTCGAAAGGATAGAACTGCTTCTTTCGAGATGGGACTGTCGGTTTGCTGGCGGAGACTGATCGGAAGACAAGGTGCGGGAGCTCCTTCGCAGCGCCGAGCGCGACAGCATGCGCAAGGACAAACTTCTGCAGGAGCCGTGTGCTCGGCATGGCTGTCCCAAGTCTGCCCGTACAGCTAGAGGCGGTGGTTGCTTGGAGATGGGGTGCTTCGCTACAAGATTGGGGTTCGAAGATCGCAAACGGGAGGGTCGAGAGCATTGTACGGCGTACGGTTTGCGAATGTCTGCGACCATCCCAAACTCTCTCGGAAGGAGCTCCTCTCCGCGGCCAAGGCACAGAGGGGCGAGAGCGCTACTCTGGACATGGTTTGAGATTCGTTAGCGATTTCGGCCCGTGACAGTGTTTCAGGATCTCTCTCGCGCGCGACTGGCACCCCCCCCCCCGACCCTGCTCAGCTATGGGTTTCCAGCATGGGCTTTTTCAGGGTACTAAGACTCCTGAGATGCACATGTAAGCTTCCATGCGTGAGTGAAGAGCTCCCATGGCCGGCTACGACATCGAAGAGGGAGCTCTCTTGCGGACGTGCCAGAGCAAGGAGTCCGTGACCTCGGTGAACCGGTCATGCAGCCATTGCTCGGTGACCGTTCCCGGAGCTGGAGTCGTAGTCTACGACACGCCTTCCTTCGTTCAGGGCGCCCAGCGTAGCCAGCCCCTGGTGGACCCCATCCGCACCTCGGTCTTCGAGTTGCTGAAGATCGGCATCGGGCCCTCGAGCAGCCACACCGTGGGCCCGATGCTCGCCTGCCGGAACTTCGCCAAGCGCTTGGTGAAGCAGCGAAGGCTTTCCGAGGTCGTCTCGATCACCGTGGAGCTCCGCGGCTCCCTGGCTCTGACGGGCATCGGCCACGGCACCAACAAGGCTTGCGTTTTGGGGCTCCATGGCGTCTCTCCTGCCGAGGTGGACCCGGCCACCATTGAGCCCTTCCTGGCAGAGGTCAAGGAATCTGGCAAGCTCATGCTGGGCTTTCGGGGGGAGTTCAAGGAGATCGGCTTCGTTGAAGAGGAGGATATCCTGCTTGTGGCAGAAGAACTGCCGCTGCATCCAAACGCGATGATCTGTCGGGCGCTTGCCAACGATTTCTCTTCCGTGCTTGAAACTCGCTACTACTCCACCGGAGGAGGCTTCATCCTCAGCGAAGAGGAGATGTTGGCAGCGGAGGGAGTGGGAAGCGGGAGTGCTGGAGGGGATGCTGACAAAGCGCTGCCACCCCTGCCTTTGCCCTTCCGCAGCATGACAGACTTGCTGGACATCTGCCGGGCCCACAGCTTGGACATCGCCAGCGTCGTGCGCAGCAACGAAGAGGCGCGCCGCTCTCCAGCGCAGGTGGCGGAGGGTTTGCAGGAGCTTTGGGCCGTGATGGAGCAATGCATCGAGAGGGGCCTCGAGAAGCAGAAAGCCAACGAGGCCTTGCCAGGGCCGCTGCAGATGCGGCGTCGGGCGCCTTCGCTTTATCAGGCGGCCTTGGAGGAGCAGCGGCAGCGCCCTCGAGAGGAGACCGGAAGGGCCATGGCGGTCATGGACGAGCTGCGATGGCTAAATTGCTACGCTTTGGCCGTGATGGAAGAAAACGCCACGATGGGCCGGCTGGTCACAGCGCCGACCAACGGTGCCGCCGGCGTTGTGCCGGCGGTGCTGGCGTATTACATGAGGCACCTGCGAGCAGCGCAGGCGGAGGAAGAGAGGAAGGAGCCCTCCACGTACCTTCTGACGGCGGCGGTGATCGGCATCCTTGCAAAGGAGCGGGCGGTGATCTCTGGAGCTGCCGGTGGCTGCCAAGCGGAGGTGGGAACTGCCACAGCCATGGCGGCCGCAGGCTTGTGTGCCGTGCTCGGAGGCAGTCCGGAGCAGGTGGAAACTGCTGCGACGGTCGCTTTAGAGCACAGCCTGGGTATGACCTGCGACCCGGCTGCAGAGTCTTTCCGCTCTTAGGTGCCTGTCTAAATATCGTTCCAAGATTGGATCTGGCGGTGGCAAGTCCTTAGCAGGAGTGTAGGGCATGCTCGATCGCCGAGGTGACCCAGTGCTTGGGCTCGTCCAGGCGCCGTGCATCGAGCGGAACTCCATGGGGGCGACGAAGGCGGTGAACGCCGTGGCTTTGGTCTTAGCTTCCGCAGCCTCGCCGTCGCCCTGGCTGAGCTTGGACGGCGTTCTTCGGGTGATGAAAGAGACGGGCGCGGCCATGGATCGACGATACCGTGAGACAGCGCTCGGCGGCTTGGCGGCGGACTATGAGCGGAGCCTTGGGGCCACGCCGAAGTTGCAGGAGCAGGTGAAAGCCACGATGGGCTTCAGCCGAATTCAAACAGGGACAAGAAAGCAGCTGCGAAGGCAAGTGACCTACGAGGACTTGGAAAGGGATCTGATCACAAGGCGCATTTCCTCGCAGTCGATGTCCAAGTGCTAGAAAGGCTAAGTGTGCCTTGATTTCCACGCAGGAAAGACGGCCAAAGAGCCGTCTATTCGCCCAGAGGGCTGAGGGGGTGTTGGCTTGGGCGTGCGGTCCTGATAGAGCGTCAATAGCGCTGCAGCCCACCGAGGACTTGAGGCTTTGAATCCTCAAAGCAGTGGCGAACTCCAACAGTGGGAGGTTGCTCCTTGAGACACCAGCACAGCCGTGGGATTTGGCCGTTCGTTTAAGACACCACGTTCCCCACACAAGACCGCGCCTTAAGTAAGGCGCGAGAGTTTTTGGCCTTGCAGGGCGGCCCCGGCGTGCTGGGCGAGGTGTTGGACCATCTGAAGGAGGACCTGCAGGTCCGAGGGCCGATTTAGACAGCTACCCCCGGATGCCCCGGATGCCCCTTTTAGAACACTTTTGACAAGGCCCTCCTACGGGCGAAGCGCACGGCGCACGAGGTCCGGCAGCAGCTCGATGCACCTCGGCCAAGAAAAGCCCTGTGCTGCTGCCTGCCAAGCTGGCGTTTGTCGCCTTGCTGAGGAGAAGGAGGCGAAGATCGCAGCCATCCACCAGGAGCCGGGCAAAAGAAGGCACGCGCCGCGGGCTCGGGCTCTCGCTCCTGGGCGCGCCTCTCCAGGAGCTGCGGTCCACGAATCTCGAGGAGCTCGAGGCGAGACCTTTGTCGGGGCGCGCGCGCGCGCGCTCTCGTGCCGCTGTGCTGTCCTTGCAGGCGGCAGTGGCGCTGGCCAAGGCAGAAGCCAAGGAAAAGGCGCCGCTTCGCCTGCTTCGCCTGCTTCGCCTGCTTGGCTTTGGTTTGGCGTGCTGTAGCGTCGCAGCGTCGTAGCGGAGGCGGAGGAGTGGGCCAAGTTGAACGCTGGCGGGGCTCCCGGACTCGATAGCTGCCCTCCTTTCCCCCCCCCGGCGTGCCGTGCCGAGGAAGGGAGGATCCGCCCTGCTACGCGGAGTCGACGCGCCTGCAGAGGGATTGCCAGGCTTGGGGACATCGGGCTGCAGCTCGGAAGTGTTGTGGCTTTTGGCTGAGCAAGCACGTGACACAGCGCCTGGATGCCGTCGTGGGGTACACTGTTCGCCACAGGAGATTTGCCAGCAGATCCTTGATGCGGAGAATGAGACGACCTTCGTTCAGCGGCAGCTCGTGCAACTTCAGGCGAGAGAGAATGGATTCGAGGGAGACTGGAGCACAGAGACACTTGTTGACTGCCCAAGCGGGAAGCGGCTCTGAAAGCACAGGACGAGCGCAGCTCCCTGGACGCTTCGGCACAGCAGCATGAGCAGCAGGCTCATCTCCGCATGAGCCACGAAGCGGCCGAGCCCTTCTTGGGGTTGCGTTGTAGGGAGGAGGAAGCAGATGAAGCAGCTTAGAAGAGTGTTTCGGCTGTTTGAAAGGATGCCCCTTGATTCCGCGAAGCCTTTGCCGCTTCCGTTGAGTCCTTCAGCTCCCGACATGAAGCCCTGAGCGCCAGGCGCTGTCCTTGAAGGACTCGAGAGTGTTTCTAGGATGCCGTTGTGCAGTCGAAGGTCTTCAAGAGGCACACAAAGTTCGGGGAACAGTCGAGTCATCTGGTCCTGTAGCGGAAGACTTTGCTTGCGGGTGTGTTGGGCCTGGATGGCATGAGTCGAGGTGACATTTGGTGGAAGGGTGTGGGTCGGTTGGAGCGCAGGAGAAGCGCGAAGAGATCGAGCGGCAGAAGGCGGGGGAGGGGGGTGGGGTTCGCCTTGGTTTGCCAGTGCACCAAGAGGCTTGGACATGGCGAAGAAGGTTACTGTAGCCGGATTGTGGAGCTGCATAGGGAATAGACGGAATAGAAGCTAGAGCAGCTAGATGTTGAGACAGGAGCAGTGCGAGCGCTCCTTGGGGAACTTGAGCGACCTGGAGGCAGAGCTTCGGGAGGAGCAGGAGGCCGGGTTCGCACAGAGAGAGGGCACCTAGGGGGAGAGCAGAAAGACGCTACCGGTGTTCCCACGCTTTTGTGTTCCCACGGTGTTCGCCCACTGTGCCTCTGTGCCTCTCGCCTCAGGGCCGCGACGCCTCGGCCCAGCGCCTGGCGGAGGCGCAGAGAGCACCTGGCGGAGGCACCCAGCGGGGCGCAGGGCGTTTCCAAAGGGTCCCTCAGTTCTCTGCCAGATCAGCGGGCAGTGCCCGTTGCCAGCAGTGCGGTGATCCACATAGAGCCAGAAAGTCGGCGCCTCAGGCATCCATGATGTTCCATAGCTTTACACATCTTGGCACATCTGATGTTCGAGTCACCTGGGTCACTGGCATCGCCACCACCACTGGATTCTTTCTGATAGCCTTTTCATGCCGTTCCCCGCCTCTTGCTCAGGCTCCCCCAAGCAGCGCCTGCTGCCGAGGCAGCCGCCCATGATGCCGGAGGCACGCGGAACCGGGGGGGGGGGGGGGGGGCGGAGACAGCAGCGGAGCCTGTCAGGGCCTACGAGTAGCGGCTCATGGCGGCTCCGCTCTCAGGTGCCGCCCTCGCCGCCTTGGGCGCCGGCAGCCTCCGAGGCCGGGGCCCCCCCTTTTGTCGCAGCGCTCTCTCTCTCTCTCTCTCTCTCTCTCTCTCTATATATACATTTCACCCGACGACCGGAGAGCGGCTTGTCCGGAGCCTCCAGAGGCCAGAGCTCTCGTCAAGTCGGCGTCAAGTCGGTGTCGAAATGTGTCGAAGGTTGTTAACGTCGGTGACTTTCGGTGACTTTCAGAGAGCTCTGAGAGCTCTAAGAGGACAAAAGTCCAGCGGCAGTCGCGGTCGCGAGGCGCCTCCGCCCGAATCGGAGCCTCGGCCTCGCTCCTCGCGGCCCGCATCGGCCCGCTCGGCGCGCTCGGCGGCGAAGGCGCGCAAACATTTAGCAAAGGGGCCATAATGGCCTTTTGCTTTTTGGGCACTCTAAGACTCTAGGAAGGCACGGCGAATGTAATTTTCAGGCGCTTCAACGGCACTCTAAGAGGCACGCAAGCATATCAAGCATTCATTTGCGTCGCTGTTGCCTCCTTTCCAGTCGGCGGGATCAGCGTCCTACGACGAAGACTTCGACGACGACGCCGCGTGAAATGCGTTGGAGGGTCGGCCTTGCCCTACAGCTCCCCAAGGCTGACCACATCACCCAGGTTTTCGGGGCATGATCCTGCATGTCTGGTTGGCCCCGGTTCGCTACGTTTCGGAGCCGAGGACTGGGAGGAGGAGTCGGATCCGGAGGACGCCTGAGACCTCCGAACGCAGAGACAAAATCCTCGCAGACAGCTCGCTGTTTAAGGCAAGCGGAACGGCTCTTGTCGTTAGGGCTATGGCTATGGGTTGGTGCGTCAGCGGGTTGAGAGCATTTGTCTTGTAGCTTTGGGAAGTGTTCGGCGGGCAATGACCCTCGGACTCTGTGGCAGACGAAAAACCGTTCGCCAGCAGAGGGGAACAAAAAGTGGGCGGTGCGCCGACTCGACCCGTCCGGAGTTTGGGGCAGTAGGCGGCCGCAGCCAGATAGGTTTCGAGGATTGAAGTGACTTGATGGCGCTTTAGTTGATGGCGAGGTACCATGTCATGCCTCGCGTCCGGCACGCCCTTGCACCACTACATGAGGTCCCTGCAAAGGCAGACGGATCCTGGCAATCCTGGCAGCAAGGGCGGGGTGCGTCGATTCCCCATGTTCACGGTGCCCCTCAAGGTGCTGATGAAGATGACGAAGGTCGAAGCACACGAAGTTCTCAAAGAACGGGGGGAGCTGGTGGAGTTCAAGCAGAGCATGGGCCAGGCTGCCTTTGTCTCACACCAGTGGGTCTCCGTGCATCATCCAGATCCAGAGTTCAAGCAGATGCGGGTCTTGCAAGAAGCTCTAAGCCACGTCCTTGATGGTTTGACCTACATTCCTTTAGACAGCAATTCAGAGACGGCTGCCACTGGTGCCAAGCCATTGCACGTGAAAGAGCTCCGGTCAAAGCCCCTGTTCTTCTGGTATGACTATTTCTCGTGCCCTCAGCTTCAGATCAACAGGCAACACCTCCTGCATGCAATTGACAGCATCTCTGAGTACGTGGCGGACAGTAGACTTTTCCTGGCTCTCTGTCCCACCGTGGTAGATCCAGATGGATCCAGGGTGCTAACACGAAAAACATGGCTTCAAAGGGGCTGGTGCAGGATGGAAAAAGTTTGCCGGGAGTTGTCTGACAAGGAGTCTTGGATCATGATAAAGAGCTCCAGGGTCATCGAGCTGAAGATCGTTGGTGGGGTGGCAGAGCAGGTCTCCGTCGGCGAAGGATCCTTCAGCATTGATGACGATCGCACAAAGATCACCCCCGTCATCCTGCGAGCAGTGAGGCGCAAGTTGCTCCTGCTGCTCGAAAGACAGGACTTGGTGGGATATCGGGTTTTGCTGAACCAGCAGCCGGTGCTTCTGCGAGGCTTGTCGCAGGATTATGTCACGGTGCTGCCGAATTTGCATACCGACCGGGAGTTGGAGCTGACTGACACGCTGTTGGCTGTTGCAAAGTTCTTGCACGAGAATGGCTTCAAGGGTGTCAGCGACAGAGACCGTGATGGCTGGTCTCCTATACATTATGCCGCTCTACGCGGCGATCCTCGCTTAGTTAGGGGCTTGCTCGAAAGCCGTGCGGATCCAAACCGTGTTACGAAGAAGGCTTCGCGTCGTCTGGTACTGCCGTTATGGACCCCGCCCCTTGCAATTTGCTGCGCGTACAAACACCACGAAGCCGCTCGTTTGTTGCTCTCGGCGAGGGCATGTGCCACAGCCCAGTCGCTTGCTTCGCCCATGTACTGTGCAGCTGCCGCCGACGACCCGGAGGGAGTCCGAGCTCTTCTGGATGCCAGGTGCAACATCTATGAGCAGAACCTGGTTAAGGTCACTGCGGTGGAAGCAGCTGCCATCTACGGCTCCTTGGCTGCATTGCAGGAGCTGCAGGCCCAGTCAGCCCAGTCACAGCGCAAATTGGACACGAAGCACAGCCTGCACATGGCAATGCTCCACGATGGCTCTGCAGAAATCGCAAAGAAGCTGGTCGATCTCGGAGCAGACCTGAACGACCAGAGCTTCGATTGGTGCAAGCGCACACCCCTCGTTCGACTACTCTGTGCAATGTCGCAGCTGCAGCATCGAATGGGCAACGTGACTCAGTTTTCCAGACAAGTTTACCATGCCGAAGGTGCCACGCCCCTCATGTTCGCGCTGCTCGGCTCGCATTACGAAGGTGCTGAGGTTCTCGTTGCTGCGGGAGCTCGACTTGACCTCCGCAATTCGCGGGGTTGGACAGCAGCAGACTTTGTGCGAGGGCAGCTGTTGCCAGACTTCTTAAGTCGGGCCTTAACGGGCGCAGGGGTAGGGGCGGTCGGGGTGCCCTGCGGGGTTCCCTGCAGAGTGTCTCAGCCAGAGCCGGAGCGCCTCGACGATGGCGAGGGCTCTGACGGCTACGTTGAGGTGTACTTCTGATTTGGCAAGTAACCTGAGAGGTAGTAATTCGCGCTCGTAAATGCAGCTAATCTTCTTCATCTCATTTTCTGCTGCGGAAATTTGTTGCGAGATCCCGCGAAGCGGCTATAGTGACAGGGCCTGAGCACGAACGTCGAAAAAAGGGTGCGGAAGTTGGATTTCCCGAACCCCCCCTTGCGGGGGCCCCACATCAGAGACTCTTGGAGCCCTGAGCTTTTCACCGGTTGCGTTCCCCAGGATTTTTGCTCAGAGAGGGTCCCCGTCCCGGGCAATGGTTCTGAGATGACCCGGCGACCCGAGGCCAGTATCGACTTGAACTCAAGAGAGTGAGTTGAGTGTGTGCACTGTTTTGCACGTCGGAGACCTGAAGAGATCGTCCTAGACACCGCAAGTTCAAAGAGTATGTCAAACGCAAACAAGAAGAAGCGATTTCGAGCCCAGGTTGCGTTTGGCTGCCGGCGATGTCCCTGCTGACGCCGCGGTTGGATTGGATCCTCGGGTGCCGTCGGCGTGGTAGCGTATCGGCCGTAGCGGCCGTAGCCGCGTAATGCAGAGATAGAGTCGCCGCTACGGGGCATTCCTTTTTGCAGGGACGACGACCGCCGGCCCTAAACTTTCCCCTGCCTCGCCCCCCGCCACAGCAACTACCACTGCCCCTACAATTTCCCCTGCTCCTCCTCCTCCTTTTGGTGGCTCCAGCCGCTATAGCGGCTCTAGCGGCCGAGCGACAGAAGGCATAGCTTCTAGCGGCGCGAAGCCGCCACGAGATTCTCTGAGGTGCTGCACGGCAGGCGGCTGCGACTCTCATGGGCAGACGGAGTTCCAGGCGCCCCGAGCTCGGAGCCGAAGGCCTAAGAAGCCCTTAAGCCTTATAAGCTCTCTGAGACCGAAGCTTTCTCTGTGCTTTTTTAAAAACAAGGCATAAAACTACATGTCGAGGAGGACGCGACTGCTTTAGTTGGGGAGGTCCAGCTGAGCTCGGAGCCCGCCCCTGTAGCCCCGGCACACGGCGCAGGGGAGCCCAGCCGGTTGACGCTTTTCGCCCGCTTCGCTGCTGAGTCCCATTTGTTCTGGCGACCAGGCGAAGCACCTCCTGACCTCCGGGGACCGCTTTTCCGTGTTTTTTTTTCCCACGCTCCGCTTGTCGGAGCGCGCGGCAGCGTGCGGCTGCGAGCTTTTGCGTCCCTGGGCTGGGCTCGGCGCAGGATTCCTTTGACATCACCTTCACCCCACGGCTTTTCGGCACCCAGGCTCTCAGCAGAGCGTGGGGGCCTCGGCCCCATTGAGACCGGAGTGGACTGCGGTGCGGCTGCATCTGGAGATCGGCTGAGGTCGAATGCTCCCTTCACCCCTCGGCAGCGAGACTTGCAGCTTGGCAGCATCGCGCCTTTGGAGGCAAGGGAAGCGAGATGATCTCAGGCGGGCGCAGCTGGAGCTCCCGTCTCTGCAGACGCAGCCTGGCGCAGTCTCCGACGCAGTCTCCGACACCTCCCCCCCCCAAGAGTGCTCCAGCCTCTCCCCTACAGCTTCGCGTTTCGACGGAAGGCGTTTCCCTTGAAATGCAAAACGAGGGGGCCAGTGCGCCGTAGCGAAGAATCGGATACGTCGCCGTCTCCAAGGTATCCAGTGCCCCCCAACCTCGGGCCGGAGACTGCGGAAGAGGCGTTTTCAGGGAGCGGAGGGAGCGGAGGGAGCGGAGAGAAAGCGCAACGCGCTGTCGGCTCGGTGCCAGGTGCGAAAGGAGAGGCTTCTGGAGATGTACCGGGAGTTTGCTTTGGACCTGCACACAGGCCTGGCCGTGTGGGTGACCATGTGGACGAAAACATCCGAAGATTCTGCATCGTGGCGCCCCGCCTGGCAGGCATGTATCTCACGCAGCTGACGTCGAACCGAGACTATGCGGACATCCACGTCCAGCTCATGGAGGACTCCCCACCCCTCTGCCCTCTACAGAGTCCCGTGATGTCTTGTGTTTGGATGGATGTTTTTTGTACTCTGCCTGCGCTGGCCTGACAGCTCCGCATGTAGACTACGCAGATGGGTGACCCAGTTTGCTGTTCCACTGCCACCCCCTCTGCAGGACGGCAACCTGTGCCGCCTTGCATTGCCTGCTCATACTGCTCGGCAGGATCTGACCACCCTCAAGCTGGACCAAAGCAACGGTTGCCGCCTCACAGGGGCTCCAGAAGGCTTCGACGATGGCTTTCTGCCATGAGAGCTTTCCGGGTTTCTTCCTTCCAAGGCCGCATCATCGAGTTCCCTTTGACCAACGTGTCCAAGGTGTATCGCATCGTCAAGAACGACGACAAGTGGTGCCCCCTCTCTACAGTAGGACCCGATTGCGAAGGGCTCTCCTGCAGCACCATTCCGTGTGGCTGTTTCTAGTTTCTTCTATGTCCTTGCTTGCGGCACTTGCTCACCTGCTCTGCTGTTCCGGGAAGGCAATGTCCTTTTTATGCCGCGGCTCTCCTGAGGTATGCTGCTGGGACGCCGCTTCCTCACAGCTCCGCGAACACGGAGGTGCGGCTGCGTATTCCGGGAAAGGGACGAGGACGAGGCTCAGGGCTGTTAGCCGTGCCTGTGCCAGCAAATCGTGGTGGTGGAGTTCATGCGCCGGAAGTTGGCCTTCGTCTTCAAGGAGCTGCAGGCCCGGAAAACGGAGAGCGGGGGCGGCCCCCTCACCGCCGCCCCCACCGCCGACCCTTCGAGGTGTCGCAGCGCTTCTTGATCTGCATGGAGCTGCTGATCCGAAGGGCGCAACAGAAGCAGGCATGAAGCGATGCGAAGCGATGCGCAGCGAAGCCGGGCGAAGCCTTAGACTTGGACTTGGACCCAACAAAAACGCTGGGCCTAAAGTCTCCAGGCGCTGCGTTCGCTTACGCCAACCTTTCCGCCCCAGCATGCGCAGAGCAGGTGCGAGTGGCTTGTCACTAGGAGTTCCTTTTGGAGCCCTTTGCAGGTATCGAGGGGCTTGGGAGGGGTCAGCAGGTCGGACCGGGGGGTTGCTAAGTTTGCAGCGGAGGCAGTGTCCTACGCCGCGCCTCGTCCATGCCACAAGCTGAGCTGTTGCTTGCTGTTGCTTGCTGTTGCTTGCTCGCTTTGCAGTCTCTGGGATGTTGAGATGTGTGGGGTGTGCTGGAGGGCGTGAAGTAAATCCGAGATTTCAAGGGCTGCGTTCAAAGTCGGAGGCGATTGCAGGACATCGACTACGAGAGAAACGGGACCAGACGACAAAGAGTAGCACGACACGTCTTAATATGGTCCTAAGATGTCTTACTGCCACCTTAAGAGCACCCTCAGTGCTTTTTTTGTCGTTCCATTCAGATGCAGACACCACCGTCAAAACACCACTGGGCCGAGACGATGAAAGCCAGCGGAGACGAAGCCACGCCACCCTCACCCACTCACCCTCGGCCTCAACTGGGTTCTTGTTAAGGGATTTAATTTAAGTTACCATAGTAAGGAAACCATATTATTTACTATAGATCCTTATTATGGTAACTTAAATTAAATCCCTTAACAAGAACCCAGTCAAGGGCTGCAAGCCGGGCAAGACGGCCTCAAGCTCAAGCTCAGGATGCCATGGCCAGGCCTATCCCGAGTCCGCCAGACAATCTGAAATGAGTTGTTTCACCGGCATTTGGGGGAAAGCCTCAAGGGAACGACTTGGCAAAGAGCTCTAAAAGGCACCGCAGACGCAGACATGCTCATGACATGATGTCTTCGCGCATTTTCTTGAAATCTGGAGCGGCCCCACCCGCTCCTCGCAGTCTCACCGAAAGCTGGCGCCGCCCCGGCCCTGGCTGGGCGTGCACGCGAAGCTCGGGTCGCGACACAGCAGCGGTGTCCCTTCCGGAGCTCGGCAACAAAGCTTGCTGCGTCAACGAACCTCCGCGCCGAGTGGCAAGCGGCGCGGCTTTAGAGAGTCGGAAAAGGTCCGAGTGGGGCCCAAGCAAGAGCCTCTAAGATCTCTGCACCGATCCCCCATTTGCTTCCGCCTTAAGGCCCTTCAGTCGGCTTCTGCATGCTCCAGTGAAGTCAGAAACTGACATAGCCCCGACCATCCCAAGAGTCCAAGAGTTGAAACGGAACCCTCCCAGAGACCCCTCACGGGTTTCCCCGTCTCCCCTTTCGCCCTCCCGTCTGCGCAATCCGCCATGTGGCGATCCCAGCTTCGCTTGGATTGGCACTACAAGTACTGGCAGAGGCTCCCCGTGTCCCCCGTGTGCCGTGTGCTCTCCTGAGATCCCAACATCTTTTGCAGGCAGACGGCGGGATACCTTCGAACCTTTGAGAAGAACAACAAGCTGCCGAACAATGAGATGATAGGCAGCTGGAGCTCAAAGCTGCTGCAGCTGTAGGCCTTTTAAAACTCTGATCATATATAGAGATCTCTTGTCAAGTTTAGGGGAGGACTCCTCATGTTCTTCTTTTGGCAGCTCCGGAAGGCTACGTCATCAATGACAAGCATCCAAAGTCGATCCGGGTAGCCTGTGACAGGTGGGCGGAGTTTAGGACAAAACTCCCTCCGTCTATGGCAGAACGCACTGCGTTGTGTAAGGTCCAGAAACGTTTCCGGGCTCACGATCCGACATGTTGCGGTGGTGCCATGAAACAACTTCAGGGCTTTAAGCTGTATGCCCAACCCTGGCTCCCAGCGCTCTGCGAAATCCATTGTGTGTCGCCATTGACATGTGGATCGTGTGGGCCAGGTACATGTGGGTGATGCGGTACAAGAAAGCTTTCCGCTTCACCAAGAAGGCCGGTTTGGTTCATCAGAAAGTTGCAGCACTTCTGCATTTGAGCAAAAACTAGCAAGAATCCGGTTTACCAACTATTTCCCCCACCCCAAACTTCCCAAAACGCCTCGGACCCTGCCAACCTTAGCTTGGGAGGTTTGGGCTCACGACGAGCACTCCGAGCCCGAGCCCCAGCATTCGACTCTTCTTTGTGGGCCTCCCAAGGACAGCGAAGGGGGGCCCAAAAGGGGGTACGAGGGCGGAGGAGGCTCTGTCGTAAGCTGTTTGCAGGCTTTTGATGTTCAGGATTCCCTTCTCCCAGGTGCCGTCTGGGTGATGTGGTCCGTGTCCAACCCCTCGGCTACCGACTGGGGCCCTGGAAGACGTGCGCCCGGGAACAAGACCGGAGGAGCCGAGTTCTGAGAGCGCCAGCCTCGAGCCTCGCCGCGCTTCGAGACTTCGGCTCTTCGAGTTGCCGAGCTCTGCCCGGCGAGGTACGTGCTGGTGCGGGTTCTCCACCGCGAGCCGCGCGACGCCGGTGTCCCAGCGTCTGCGCTTTCTCCCAGGAGCTGGCACGGAGCATACCAATTGAAGCCCCAGGTTCAAGAAGCCCAAAATACATCCTCGAACAAAGTCACGAAGAGATTTCTGCCAGATTCTGCCAGCAACCCAAGCTCGGAAGCCCAGGACATCCTCGCGCCGCGGGGCTCGGAGAAGCGAAATCTGCTACTCCCAAGCAGGCAGCTGTGGCTTTGGCAGGGCTGTCGGGTGATAGCCGGTGGCAGTCCCTCGGGACTTTGTATCGTCTTTGGGCACCGGTCTTCCCGAAGCTAGTACTCGCATTAGCGATCATCAAGACATCAGCTATCTCGGGCAAGAATAGTGACGGAGGCGACATGGACATGGCTGCATGGATCGTGGTAGCGATCGCCAAGAAATGCTCTAGATGCTCTAGCTAACGAATGCGCATCGATCATTACCATCGCCATCACCATCATCATCGCCATCGCCATCACCATCATCATCACCATCACCATCACCTTCACTATCATCATGATCATCATCATCATCATCACCATCATCATCATCATCATCATCATGTAGTAGCGCCCGCATCCATTTCTACCGTCAGGAAGGTTGTACTCCTAAGCATAGCATGACCCCTGGCAATCATGGCTATCATGTCCTTGTATCCTTGCAACAAGCAGGCGTACTCCGAAGTATTCATAAGGATTAGCTAGCATCTCAATACGCATTGTAGGCGTCATCAAGACAATACTAATTTCCATAGCTATCACCTTGACCGCTTGTGCATCGGATTCAGTACGTTGTTCAGCATTGTCCAACCGTCACAAATTGCGATGCAAAATCCTGACGATCATGCTATTATTCAGAGTAGGCATCTTCGTTCATGCTCACCATAGAAAAAGCGACCTGACGAGAAGAAGCCATCACCAAAAATAACCATGAGCACAACATTAATTGCAATAGCTGCTGTGCTAGCACTACCTTGATAGTAGCAGTTCTCACAACGAAAATGGGAACGCAGGACAACAGGGTGGCTGAGAATCACAGAGTGCTCAAACGCAACTGGAACGATTAGAATTGATTAGAATTATATCAACCGCCGGTAAACTGCCACGCTGCTTGATTCAGCTTCTAATGCCGCATAATGCCGCTGCTGCAGCCGCTTCACTTGCTGCTTCTAGTGGCACTGCGGCTGCTACGACTACGCTTAGAACTATAGCAACAACGACGACAAACTCTCCTCCTCATCCTCCTCCTCCTTCTCCCACTGCTGCTACTACCACCACTGCTGCTGCTGCTACTACTACTACTACTACGACGACGACTGCTACTATTACTTCNNTACTACTACTACTACTGCTACTTGTACTTCTACTGCTGCTACTACTACGACTGCTGCTGCTGCTACTACTACTACTACCACCACCACCACCACGACCCGAACCACCAGTACTGTTACGGGAGGAGGAGCATCCGTAGATCGATGCTCTCCGTCACGCTTCCATGATTAGATCTTACACTTTTGATGATCAGCCGGATTCCGAGCAGGACGACCGCGGAGGATCCACTCGAGCAGACGGAGTAGTATCGCGGAAAATCGTGTGCAACGTATATGTTTTCGAGCAGCAGAGGTGAAGGACAACGACGACGACCGCCACCATCGTTGCTGCAGCAGCAGCAACAACAACCACAGCAACACCAGCAACAGCAGTAACAGCAACAGCAGCAGCAGCAGCCGCCGCACGGCAACGGCAAGAGCGAGAGCAAGAGCAAGAGCAAGAGAAACGGCAATAGCAACAGCAGCAGCAACAATGCCACTACCGTAACAAGAACAATCGCACGAGCTACGAGCACAACAACAAACCACCACCACCACCACCACCACCACCACCACCACCACCACCACCACCACCACCGGCACCAGCACCAGCACCAGCACCAGCACCAGCACCAGCACCAGCACCAGCACCAGCACCAGCACCAGCACCAGCACCAGCAACAACAACAACAACATCATCATCATCATCATCATCATCATCATCAACACAGCAATAGCAATAGCGATAGCAGCAAGAACAAGCAAGAGCAACACGCACAACACACACGGTCGCGGGCTAAACTCTTGCAAGGATAGCCGGAAAGGAAAGAGACAGGGGTTTTCATCGATGGCTCGCAGCTGGTGATGACGACAGCATGGTTTTTTGACAGTGACAGGAATGATTCCTGTGCGGTGGCAGTTTACGTCTCACGGGATCATGCAGCATGCTAGCGCTTTGCCACGACACCGAAGCTCCAGTTTCCAGCCGAGGAGCCGAAAGCCCCAGGCCACCCCGACCCCAAAGCAACGGGGCAAAGACCCCATGCCGGGCTCGCTGGGCCATGCCGTTTGCTCGCTCCTCCAGCCCTCAGGCAGGGGCAACTAGCGGCGCTGGAGCACGCGAAGGGCTCCGGTTTGGGGGAGTTTCGTAGTGCGAGGTGAGTCTGAGCCAATGCTGGCCGCCTGGGCGTGGGCGCCCACGCCACGACGGAGAGCCACGGCATTCCAGGTAGCCAAGCCCTCAGGAATAATAGGGCTCTGGGAGGAGGGATCCGCCGCATAGCACTAGCACTAGCATAGTAAAAGACTCTTGGCCAGCATCGAGAAGTTCAGACAATGAGTTGATTTAGCACAAAAATAGGATTTGGAATAGGATTTCGGATAGGGTCAGATGTCGGAATACGATCTAAAGTAGGAACACTTAGGGTTTAAATAGGACGAAAATAAAGCTTTTCGAAGGGGTCGGATGTCGGCATAGAAGGTAAGCGTGCTTGGATTATCATTGTACGGCACTTCAGCCCAGGCGTGCGGCGCTAGGGCCGCTGATAAGTCCAGGGTGCCATGGGCTGGGGAAGCTGTGCAAAGGGGGAGGGGTGGAGCTGCTGGCTTTGGGGAGGTAGGGGGTGGGGAGGTAGGGGGTGGGGAGGGGAGGAGAGGGGTAAGCAAAGAGCAACCCAACTCTCACCCTCGCGAGAGGGAGTTTTCAGCACGCCATGTAAGGGTAAAATGGCAAAGTCTGAACGCGTCTAACCTGAGGCCAAGGGCTACTTCGATGACATGGCCGTGTTCAACAAGCCAGCTCCCAAGAGAGATCTGCTGGGAATGCGTGTCGCGTCCCACGAAACTCCGGTGCGACTTTCGCAGGTTCGGGCACGAGATCAGCAAGCCGAAGCTGCGACCCGGTGGTGCAGACACAACGCCGGACTGCCAGAAGGCCCCAAGTCAGCTCTGCATGTCCGATCGTACCATGGGAAGAAGGCTGCCCTTTTACTGGTCTCGACTTCACAAGTTCGATGCATTTTGGAAAGATCAGACCTCTCTTCCTTTGACAAGCGACGCTTCTCACGGTCCTCCGCCTCCGAGCCTCTCAGCGTCAGTCTCTCGAGCTGCCGACAACGAGAAGCATGAGCAAACTCTCCGAAACTTTGGGAAACATGGGGCGCCCCTGTTACCTTTCCACCCTAGAGAAACATAGAGGAGAGGAAGCATGAGAGCTGAGCTTGTCTTTACCAGGATATGCGGGGATGTTCTGGGTTTCTTCGGTGTTGATATTGGGGGGACGACCGTTCCAGCAACTGTTCTGTGGATGGCATCGGGCAGCTTCATGGGGACATCCCAATACCACCCTGGTAAGCGTGAAACCTGAGTTACCCGCGTACTCTGACTTTTTGAAAGAGCAGATAGCCTTCACCATGCGAACGTCGATGATGTCGATGGCAATGATGATGATTTCGCACGATTTCGTATCGAATTTTTTGGTCCCGTGATGAAAAGAAGCCCTCAACAGGAGGACCGACTCCTCACCAAGCGGCAGCAGCGGCTGGACAGGGACTTGGAGTCTCGGCCACTGCCCGACGCCCCCGTGTTCCTTTTTGGTAGTCGCTTCTAAAGCACATCGACGAGGGGAAATGTAGCATCTACATCTGAGGAAAACTTGCGCAAGCAGTTTGAGCCGAAGCTCATCACTGCTGCGGATGCTCGGCTAGCGGTTTCGTAAACGGGATATCTGTTTGCGGGAAGTCGCTCAAGAGTAAAATCATGCATCCTAGTGGGAGCAGACCAGACGGCATGGGATCAGAGGATCACTAGTTTGAACTCGTGAAACGAGTTGCCCAGAACACACGACACCTTATCAGCAAAAGATAAAAGTCGGAATAATAGAGCACGAGGTCAACCATGGCTGGCTATCGCACCAAAGCATGTGTAGACACGGCATAGCACGTTATGGCATAGCTAGGCTAGTGCAGCAGTGAAAAAGCCACTGACATGTACACAACATTGTGCCATGCATCTTGCGCGGCAACAAAGCATGCTCTGACACACCAAAAGTCAACATAGCACGATACACAGCGTGCAGCGTACTTGAGCAGCTTGCATTGGATTAGAAGCACCTATACGTCGGTCAGTCGTAGCACCATCCACCCGTGTGGTTCCAGACGGTTTACGAAGGTGCAACAGGACTTGCAACGCAACAGTTTGCAGCAGGTTCACGGCATTATTGAACGGAGCCGGATGCAGCAGCGGGGAATACCACGTGTCAGTGCCTCCGTAGTTAGGAAGATGCAGGAGACATGCAGAACATATTTTGGTAGAGTAAACACAATTAAACGCATGTCGTTGTGCGGCTTGGCTTTTGGGACGAGACGAGGCCCTCAACTCGGAACACCCGGAAGTGAAAGCCCTCCTTGTTTTCTTCTCTGAAGCCGGGGCACCGGGCACTAGCAAGATGGAAGAAGCTGACCCGTGGCCTCAGCCCGTGCAGAGCTAGGCTACAAGCAGCTTCCCATGCAAGCAATCCCACCCGTTCAGGTCTTTTGGTGGTCCTTAACTAACCCTTAAATCCCTAAATCTGGAAGCATCTCAGATTTCTGCGATGCCCAGGACATCGACGGGGAAGATCCGCTGAAAGCTGCCATTGCAGAGCCCCCGAACTTCTTCAAGGCATAGGGCCACCAAGGCTGCCACGTCGCAGCCTCCTGAGCCCCAGCCGTTTTTCTCTTGATATATTTCTCGACTCTGCTGGTGCTCTTGCAGTGATCTGATGATGTCCGTCTCAATAACTCAAGCTTGGTTCAGCCGACGGGCACCGACTTTGCTAGCGTGGCCAGCTGCGGAGGCCGGGGTGAACGTGGAGGTCATGAACCCGGAGAGACCGAACTCCGAGCTCCTGGCCTGCCTGAAGGACTTTTGAACTCGTCTGAGCTGTCTGAGCTGCCGATGCCCTGATGCAGGAGGAAGGAGGTAAGTTCGAGCTTTGCGAACAAAAGGAGCTGGGAGCTGCTGGGAGCTGCGGAGTTGCTGGGAGCTGGAGCCGCACGTTTTTCCGGAGAGCCGCCAGGAGCTCGGGGAGGACGGCCATGACCTCGCCTGCGACGCGGAGCGCGGGGAGGACTTCCACTGGCGGGAGGCACCCCGATGGCTTGGGCGGGGGTACTCGTACTGTGGGAAGTAAGGGGGTTGGGACGCCGGAACTTGCTCAGGTTAGTGTTGTCCGAACAGAATCTTTCACTTGCATCTTGTAGTCTGCCGCGCCAGGGCGACAGCGTGAAGTTCCTGGGCACCTGCATCGAGCCGAAACCCCTGAAAAAGGCTCGGCCGGGAAGCCCCGGGAGGGTGGGGAGTGGGGAATGGGCCATCAATGGAGCAGGGAAAAGACAGAAAAGACAGTTCCTTAGTTCCTTTTCTTTTTTGCAGAGGCCTTGCTCTCCGCCGAGACGCCCTACCTCCACTGCGTGTATCCCGACGGGGAGGTGCCTGGGGAGGAGCCGAAGCCCGAGGCCGGAGCGATGGGCGAAGGATCCCAGCCCGACAAGGGTGGGGGCCCCGTGGGCGGGGGTGGCGGTTACGGTTAGGCTGGAGTGATGGTGCTGGGGGGTTCGGGGGGGTTGTGACCGGATCCCCACCGCCAGCGATGTGACGCTGCAGCTGGGCCGAGCCCTTGCAACCCTGAACGCGTTGGCTCCCCCCGCCGCCAGCGACTGGCTTAAAGTTGGCCAGGGCCAGGGAGAGTCTGTGGACAAAAGGAGGCCTTGTCCGGTGGTTGTGTATGCTTGTGACACAATCGTCGTGCGGCCTCCAGCAAGCCGGTATGAGAAATGCATGCACGTGACCAACTGTTGGGCTTGCTGTGATGATTTGAGGCTGGGGGGGGGGGGAGGAGACGAGCAGCACAGACCATTCTGTCATCTCTTGCTAGGCCCCAGGCCGCTGCATCCGAAGGGAAGTTACTGGTAGCGCCAGCCTTTCACCCAGCCTGTCACCCCCCCTGGGTGCCGGCAAGCCCGAGCGATCCGAGCCATGCGCGGTGCTGCCTTGCTGCTGGCCTTGGCCGGCGGAGAGGCCCGGCCAGGACTCCAACATTCTCACGTCGCATCACGTCGCAATCTTTCGGGCGCGAGGTGGTCTCTGGAGACCTCCCCAAGATCGGGAAGAAGTGGTGGGTCCTGGGCCCTTTCGCGTCCGGCAAGGTCGAGTATGAAGCGGCGCCTCGGTTGAAAGAGGAGCTTTTTTTGCAGCTTCGAAGTCGGATATTCCATTCGGTCCTGGGGCCAAGGACCCGGTGGAACGGCTCGGAGGAGTCTGGCAGCTTTTTGGCTCCCGTGGCCTGGATGAGAGTCGGCTCCACATTTTTGGCTTGAGGGGTCGAGTGGGAGCCAGTTTCGGCAAAGGAAAGGCGGGTGTCGGGCTGCTGGCCGAGCACGCGACCGGAGGCGCAACTCAGAGTTCTGCTTCGCTTTTGTGCTTCGCTGATGTCAACTGGTTGCAGAAGAAAGACATGCCTGTTTCCGAAAATCAGGGTACCTTGTTTTGGGGTTCTTATAACAAGGATCCTATTATTTAGGGTACTATGTAAGGGTCCCCTATTTTCGGAAACTCCCACATGAGAGAGAGCAGCGAGCGAAGCTCTGCAAAGTGTTTTCTTTGGAGGCCGCGTGTCCTGGAGATGGACCGAGACGTTGAGCAGCGCGACTGCCTTGCCTCTAATCGTCAGAATTCCTTGAAGCCTCTTTCCTCTGTCTTTATTTTCGAGCCCTGGAGCAACTCGAAGTCCAATGAGGGGTCCCTACCTGTCGTTGGTTAGGGCTGGATTCGGTGACTACGCTGAGGTGCGAAGGGGTAGGAGAGGAGAGCATCTGCAACGGAACGTCGTGAAGCCGAGGTGGTGACGGGTGGGCTCAGATCCAGCGCCCTGGATTCGTCATGGAGCGGACCGCAAGTTGTTTCTTGTTCGTGCCCTTGCCCGTCACAACCTCCGGACATCTCTCTATGAGGCTTCCGCACGACCACATCCCCTTCCAGCAGCTGCTGCAGAGCCCACCTCTGGGATCCGGCAGCGACGTGCTCCACGTCCAGCCGGGCCCTCAAGCTGAGGAGGTTCTGAAAGCCCGCTTGCTGAACCCATCGGGATGACTGCGAAGCTCCCGAATGTCTCGTGCGGACATGTGCGATGTGCTCTTGGCCCTGCTCGGCAGCATTGCGCAAGCCCCGACATCTTCATACAATCTTCGTACACATCTGACTGGCTTGAGATAAGGACTCAAGGACTCAAGGCAGCATCCTAGTTGCCCTTCAGCCCTTGGCCCAGGTACTGGGTCGTCGGGGCGCTAAAGGTGAAGACTCCGGGGCGCTTCGGAGTGAACTGCCGCGGGAGCCTTGGCTGTGAGAGGACGTCGCAGAGCTTACGACCTCGCTGCTGCTGCTTCTGATTCTGCTGCTGCGGCTCGACTATGACTACGATATACTACGATGACCACGATTACTTAGTAGCTACGATGATTACTGATTACGAATGCCAAGAGGGCGACGGCGAGACATCACCGCCAACACAGCACCACGAGTACCGCCAGCAGAAGCACCGCCACCATAGCACCAGCAGCGCCGGCAGCACCCGGGGCACCAGCAGCAGTTCCTCCTCCCCCTCCTCACCATCACCACCATCGCCTTCGCCATCAACGCACAGTTTCGGATCGCCATCTCCACCAGCACTACTTCACTACTGGCACCACCATGATCATCGCCACTAGTGATCACCAGTGTGATCACGTTTATCGTCACCATCTCGCCGGTCTTCGTCCTCCTCCTCCGCATATGCTCGGGTGGCACAGCTCACCGACACAACCGGTCCCTGTGCAAAGGACAAGAACCCCAAGCGACGCGTCTGGGGACCGCCTGCAGCACCGCACTTGTCCCCAAGTGCACAGCCGAAAAGCCCGTCTGTCGTGACCTCGAAAGGCCAAACCTCAGAAAGAAACGAAGCAACCCAAGGCTCCACACTTTCCACCTTGTCTTGCCGCAGGAGCAGGTCGGAGTTGGGAAGCCGCAACATGACATCCTTAAGGTCTTGACGCTGAGCGTGTGCAGCCGATGAGTGAACGTAGCCCTACTGTAGCCGTGCGGTCCAAACTCCCGATTTCCAGCCCAGCAAGGGGCGCGCGCCTCGGAGGCCCCATCCTAGGAGCGCCTCGAAGGTCGTGGGCCCCTTTGCGGGGAACATCTACAGCACCGTCCCCTTCACTGTCCCCATCGACTTCGAGGCGGTGCTGCCCGTTCCGCGTCTGAAGACGGGGGCCTCAGAAAGTCCTCGAAGTTGACTGGTGCCCTGTGGAGGCAGCCGGGACCTACCACGTGCTCTCCCGCGTTCGTGGGAAGGCCAGCGGCTGCTTGGGTGATCCGAGTCCTTGAAATGCCGTGACCTCACGGCAAGCGTCGGATGCGCGATTGACCTCGCCATTCATGCAATGAGCTCGAGGTATGAAATCCTTTCGGCACCGTCGGCACGCCTAGGCAGAACGGGAATTCGCAATGTCTCCCACCCCAGTCGCACACTCATTGAATGCTATACATTCTGCCCTCGATGCCAATTCCCGTCGCTTCTCCGCCTCTCCTTTTGGCAAGTCCAACTACATGTGCAGTCAAGTCAGAACAGAACGCTCTGAACACGGGGTTGCCGACCTTTGATTGTTCACGCTGCATCTCGAAGTCTGGAATCTCTCAAGTCTCTTCTGATCTGCCCGCTCTGCTCCTTGATGTCGGCCACGGTCACATTGGCAAGCTCTGTGTCAAACAAAGGAATGTCTACGAGTCTTAGGCTTAAGTTTCGATGGACAGAGGCAGGCACCTGCCAAGTGCAGGAACTTCTTAGTACAGCAGGAGACAGCACAACGAACAAAAGCATCAGGGGCAACCAGGTTACGGAAAGTGCGACACGTCCCCCCTCACCACCAGGGGGGTAGTTCTTCAAGCTAGGGTACCCTTTAGGGTCCTTATTGTAAGGGTGCCGTACTATACTAAGGACCTAAAAAGGGACCCTCATTTAGAGAACTACCCACAGGTTCCCAAAAATAGGGGACCCGAATATAGTACCCCAAATAGTAGGATCCCTATTACAAGGACCCCAAAATAAGGTACCCCTCTATTTTCGGAAACTTCCCAGAGATGGCTTTGCTGCTTTTTTGGCTGCGCTGCAAGCCGAGCAAAGGTCCCTCTGCGCTTCGCCTGCCGGCTGGAGACGCTCACGACGCTGCGCCTCGGCCCTCTGCCCGAAGACTTTGGGTTTAGGGTTTAGGGTTTAGGGTTTAGGGGGGAGTCTCCCCGAGAATTTGGGGGTCCCTTATTTTGGGGGTCCTTGTAACAAGGGTCCTACTACTTGGGGTACTGTATTCAGAATCAGGGGTACCTTATTCTGGGATCCTTGTAAGAAGGATCCTACTATTTGGGGTACTAAAATAAGGTCTCCTATTTTCGGAAATCCCCGTTTAGGACGATAGGAAAGCGGCGCCGGTGCGGAGTCGGATGGCTCAGGAAGGGCACCATCCAGGCCAAGAACCTCCCGGATGTCGTCGGAGGGAAGCTGCTCGTCAGCCCTGCGCCCATCGACTTGCGGGTCCAGAACACCGGCGCCTTTGCCGGAAAAGTCGACCTGCTTAAGAGCCGCTACATTCTTCCTGCCGTTGCTGCAGAATTATGCGCCTGTCTTGAAGAGGAGAATCATGAAGAAAGGTGACTCGCATCAAGTTCTGCTCTTCAGCTTAGGAGCCTCCTGGCTGGATGTCAGAGCTGATGTGGCTCCGAGCCGGTCGTGCCTTGCAGACATACTGTAGTGTTACATAGTTTTACATCGGAAGAGTCGTCTTCTGAGTTGTTGATTCGGCATTCGCACGACTGTCACTTGATGGGCTCGCGCCTCCAAGTTGCGGCGGCCAGCAGGAGCATGCAATTTGGGCTTTCCACCCTGGTGAGGGCCGGGGCGTCCAAGGTCGGCCGTGTCTGCTACTTCATCCTCTGTGCGCCTGGCACCCGGGGCCATCGTACAGGCTGGCGGAATCTCACTGGGATGGCTCTTCTTGGTCCATTTGGGGGGTTTCCGAAAATAGAGGGGTACCTTATTTTGGGGTCCTTGTAATAAGGATCCTACTATTTGGGTACTATGTTTGGGTCCACTATTTTCGGAAACCCCCATTTGTTGCTTCTTATGGTACGAGACCGCTGAAGTGCTGCATCCGTCTGGCTCATGATCAGTCATGTCCTGTCCTTTCAGGTGCCCGTGTTGGTCACGGTGAACGCACCAGCGGTGGAGAAGGAGGGACTTACACTTGCGCCAGATTCTTGTACAACCCTTTTGGCACGAGTAGTACTTCGATCTATATCCTGGGCAAAGATTGCGCATCACGGCGCTGCCTCGACAGGACGCAGCCGCCTGCGTTCGCTTTGACCTGCGCCTCGTCGGCAGCGAGGACCAGACGGAGCAGGCTCTCGCACTGTGAAGGGCGGGGTGATGGCATAAACGTCGACGTTTCTGGGGAGCGCTTTGAAGGCCGCCCTCAACGTCCCCGTGCAGCTGCGCTGCCGGCGGTCCACGCAGTCGGCGCTCTTCTCCTTCCTGGACGTGGACGGCTCCGTCGCCCTGGCCGCCGTGCTCAAGCCGAGGAGGCCCCGCAGCCTCTCCGCTCCTCTCCTCTTCGGAACTTTTTTCTCGACGCTGCGTCTGCTCCGACGCTTCTGGCCGAGGCCCAGCGGAGAAGCCCTGCCGATTCTGGTCTCGCTCTCTGGTGTCGGCGTGGAGCCGCAAGCGCAGGCGAGCCTACCCTTAGCAGTGGTTTCGCGCCGAGTGGGAAGGCCGAGTGGGAGGCTTCTGCCGAAGCGTCCGGGCTCGGGAGCCAGGCCGATGCCTACAAGATGAAGCCTACGGAGGCGGAGGTCCGGCGACCGTGCTTGGGAGGTCGGGGACGACTCTAGTCTCGAAGGGACCGGCGACGACGACGGTCCTCGCCATTTTTCTGGGGGGGCCAGGGCACAAGAAGCCGAACTTATTGCTTGCGCCATGTCGGGTAAGTGATGCCAGGACTACATCTTCGGCTACGAGGAGATGTGGGTCCTGGCCCCGCAGAGGGACGGACCGCGACTGGGCTGCAAAACTGGGCCGAAGCTGCGGACGGCCAGCTCCAATCCAGGCACAACTGGGAAGACGTCGGTCTTCGCGCTGCCTTGCGCTCGATCGATGTGCTGGCGGAGAGCCAAGGCGCCCAAAGCGAAGGGAACGTGCGGAAAGGCTGAAAGTGTGCCCCACCCGCTTGGCCCGCACCCCCTCGCAGGGGCGGATGCCGGGCGCCTCGTCGTCCATGGCCACTCGCGAGGGGGCCACGGAGATCCTCGGCAGCACTCCAAAGAGGGGGGGGGGGGGGGGGGCGGGGGCCTCTGCCCCTCTCCCTGCAGGTCCGAGGGGCGGCGGCCAGTTTTGAGGCTTGGGGTTGGGGCTTCGGAAAGCAGTGCCAAGGCCTGGGCCCTGGCCACTCGCATCCCCGACAGGGTGCTGGGTGTGGCGTCGGCGTGTGGCTGGTACAGCCGCGAGGTGCCCAGAGACTGGGGGAATGTAGACGGGCGTTGCTAGAAGCACTCCGGAGCTTATCGACACCCTTCCAATCCGCTGGCGCTTTTTCCGAGATCGATTTGTCCACGTCACGAAGTAGCATTCGTATGCCCTGGTCTTTGAGTCGATGGTACTTGCGTTACAACATGCACTCGATGCAGCCTTTCTTTGATCTCATCATGAAAGGTAGACGCCAAGCCTAATGAGTGCAGTCTGAAGTTGGAGGAATGACAGCACCCTAGGGCAGGGCAGAGAAATTCGCAAGATGGGGTGCAGAGCCTTCACGGAATGTGTCAGAGGAGTACGGCGATGCAAACAACCTCTGGGTGCATGACCCCGCGCTGATGCACATGGAGCCCTGGTTGAAGCTGTGCACTGCTACCCCACAGCGGAGCCTTCGGGCTAGGTCCATTATTTGTGCAACTCAGACCTATAGCGACACCCCTATGCCATGCCAGAATGTCTCATGTAAACTGTTTCGTATTGCTGTCTGTATTGCCGTCATAAACGTCGCTTTGCTATGCTCGTCGCATTGCTCGATTATTGAGGTCGACATCATCACCCTTGGTATGACTGCGGGAGCAGAATCCGTACAGGCTTGGCTTAGCCTACGTGGCCCTTTAATGCCTCTGAACTTTTCTCTGAAGTGAGATCCTGCGCGTCCCAGTGGCCTTAACCGATGTTCCAGAGCCCTCAAAATTCTGTAATTATGAGGAATCAAGCAAAATCGAAATCATTCCATAGCGGTACCTGGAATATGAGGGGCTTTGTGCCTCCTCCTGCACGTCCATGTCAGCTCCGTCGCTGGGTCTCAAAGTGGCTTTGGGTTTAGGCTGCCTCCCACAACCGATTCTGAGACCAGACCAGCCTGACGTCCTCATGTCGAAGCCATGACGCAGACTTCGGATCGTCAGCCTTCTTTCGCGTTCGCTCCGAACTTCAAGCAGTGGCAATCAACCAAGGACAAGCTGCTTCTGGGCATCTTCCATGCCAGCGTGGCAGAGAACGAGAACTCCTTGCACGCCTCAAACCTCAAGGCCAGGCGGCGGAGCTTCCCGGTGTACGCCCGGCTCCAGCCGGAAAGTGAGGGATGCGTGTCACAAGGGATGCGATACCTCGATCCCCTTGCCCGTTTGAGGTGCAACTTGAGTGCTGTTCGAAAGGCAAAGAACCGAGGACGGTGGTTGTGTTCAGGCTGAAATAAGAAACGAGCAAAAGGAGGCAGTTGAAACCTGCAATGCACTACTGTTGACAAGAGCTCTATGGGCGGTTTTTTTGTACCAGCTTTCACATGTTTCTGAAAGCTGACGCGGTTGATTGGATGCAGGGTGTTTTTCTTTGCTTACTCAGTTTCCTCGGTGCCGCCGGCGTATCTTATTCAAGCATTTTTGGAGGTGTTTTTTTCCGGGCAGTTGCTGCAAGGCTCTGCTTCCAAGCCGAGGCTTTTCGAGGCATCCGTGCGCCATGTGGAGGTTGCTCTTGGCCTTGTCCGGAAGTGCTCTGGCCAACGACGTCAATGACGCCGCGTGCGTCATGCAAATGGCCATGCGTGCCAGGCTCACAAGCACGAATGTGAGCTTCACCGAGATGAAAGAGTACCAGGGCAAGTACTGCTATGCTCCAGCGGCGGAGATGCGCGCAGATCATCGGGCCTTTGATGGTGTTGCAAGCAGGCAAGAGTGCGAGGATGAATGTGCTGCTGACCCAGAGTGCAACTTCTACGGTTGGTACACCGGTGGCAGGACGGGCAGCCGCTGCGACGATTGCGTCCTGTACAGGTCGTGCGAGGCTCGCCGTGAATCTGTGTGCAAGGACGTGGGCAACCCCAAGATTTTTGCCAAGAGCCCAGCGAACACTGTGAGGACACCTTCGCCAAATGAGGTCAAAGGCTACGTTGTAGACGTGACATTGACGGACATGTACTGCAAGGGAAGCGAGCTTCTGGTCCTCGAGGACGCAACCCTGGAAGAGTGCAAGTCCAATTGCAGCGCCTTTGGGCGTTGCCAGTACTTCGGGTTTTACTCCAACTCCAAGCCGGACGAGGATGCAAGAGTCAGCACATGTACAGCCGCATGTCGGTTGTTTTCAAGCTGCTCTTCCAAGGTGCACTCCTTGTGCAAACCCGGACCCACAGTGTTCGTGGCTACGACTACGACGACGACCACCACGACGACGACGCAGGTTCGAAGTTCTCCAAACAGTTTGTATCTCCACTTGAAGGGCTTGATTCGGGGCATGTGGGGTGGGGCATGCGGCGCGACACGACCCAGGTCGCCATCACCGAGATCACGGAGATTCCCGCATCCACAACCGACAACCCAGCCGGATTCTCTGCCGTGGCATTTACCGCCAATCGCAAGGCCGTTTTCTCACCGGGCATGGACCAAGCACACATCTGCACCGGCTGGGACAACACGCGGGTGGGAATTCTGGACCTCGACACGAGGCAGTATGAGACCTTTGAGCTCACAGATTGCAACCAGGACCCTCCTTCCCCCCTGCCAGCAAACGGCTGGGGTGGTGCAGCGGCCGTCGGCAATTTGGTGGTGTTCGCACCGGCGCATCACTGGTGGAATCCGAACCCTTCTAAGGCATCCATCGGGGTGTTTGATGCTGGGGCGCAGCCCTACAGCTTCAACCGCATTGATATCGAAAACGATTTGGCATCTGTAGGGATCACCGACACCCGCGAGCTCTTCTTGGGTGCAGTGACAATTGGATCGGTGGTTGTCTTTACACCCGGCAAAAGCGTCGTGGGCATCTTCGACCCGGTTACTAGCCAGTACAGACAAGTGCAACACAGCATCCCGCGCGGATCTGGATCGGGTTCCCCCGTGGCAGATGCTGTGGCGGTGGGCACCAAGGCTGTGTTCTGTCCGTTCAGAGGCAAAAACGTGGTGACCTTCGAGCCCGACACAGACACCATCCATATGCTTGACATCAGTGGGAAGGTGAATTTTGGAGACTACGGCTTCCACGGAGGAGCGGCAGTTGGCAACAAGGTCTATTGTGCCCCGTGGACCCAGGATGGCATCGGCGTTTATGACGTAGAGGCTGATACCTTCGACCTCTTGGCCGTGGCACTCTTCCAAAGTTTCGGGAGCTACGAGTTCTATGCAGCAGCAGCATTCGGAGACATCGTCTACTTGGCACCCGGACAGACAAACGTGCTCCTGGCATTGGACACGCGTGACAACTCCACTACTACAATCTCCGACCACGGTGTCAACAAAGCCGACCGCTACTCCTTTACCAAAGGTGCGGCAGACCCTCTTACCAAGACTCTCATCTTCTCGCCCAACTCCGTGGCCAATGCGTTCCTGATCTCATTCCGGTGAGAGCATGGGCCTACATGGGCTACCGAACCCATTCTCATCCATATCAAACCTCATCCCAGTGTTTAGAAACCGATCTCGGTCGGCTTGTTTGAAACCAAGTGCAACCAGGGAAGCACCCAAGGTGATCCCCAGCGTTGTTGAAAGTGTGTTCTTAGTGTTCTCAGGCCTCACGTGCCGGGAACCCCCTTTCATGACCGAGCTGAGTGTGCAAACTTTGCACTGCAAAGTCTGATAGGGCCGAAAAGCATGGCTGGTGGCCACCCATTCTCCAAAGGACCAAGCTGATGAAGCGCATTGCTTTGATTTTCTTCCTTTTTTCTTCCTGCTTCTTTCCTCGGCCACTTTGGCGTGCCCAGAGCTTTTCATTTCTGATTTTTCCTTCGCTGCATCTCGCTGCATCTCGTCTTGTCCAGGGCCTGCCAGCCCTGGTTCGAACGGCAGCCCGCGATCAGGCCGTTGAGCGGAGCTGCCCGGAACCTTCGAAGTTAACCAAGTTTTTTGTAAGTTAAGTCAGTCACATAAGTCTTCGCAAGCCCATGCAGGACCCTTACTTCGGCACCTGCAAACGAAGCCTGCTTTCCGCGAGGCGGTGCCGCCGTGGTTCGGGCGTCGGATGGCAAGGCACCTGGAGGAGGAGGGTGCCAACGTCACCTTCCAGGCTTCGGGAGCAATGCCAGCTCAAGCGATTGAGAGAGGATGCTATGTCGCGATGTTGCCATGTGCAGATCCCTGAGAGGAGTTCGATCAGGAGCACTGGTGGTGGGACAGCCAGGACCTTCAGATTCTGAAGACGTGAGTTCTGATGACGCAGCGCATGTCCGCGCCTCAGGAGCCCAATGATGGCGGCGTCATGCACGACCCGGGCCTCCGCAAGTGGACGCTGGAGGCGATGAGGGTCTAGGGCCTATGGGGCTCAGTACTTCATGTAACCTCGTAACCTAGCAGAGCAGTGGGGCTCATTTTTGTCCTTTTGTCCAGCCCCTTCGGCCTTTCTGCCAGGCGGCCCGCCGTCCCCGGCTGGCGCTGTCAGAGCTCCTGGCGCAGGTTCCCGGCTCGGCGCTTCGTAGTCCCGGAAAGGAGAGCGTGAGCACAGGGCGACTTCGTTCTGGCGGCTGGGGGTCCAGAGTACCAGGACCGGCGATTCAAGGATTCCTGAGGTTCAATTAAGGCGATAAAAGCACAAAACGCACTAAGCCACCAAGCCTTGAAATTCATATGTGCAGAGTGCAGAGCTTTAGTTGAGAAGGGTTTCCTCCCCCCTCGTACCCTTGCACTGCTCATTGGCTTGCGGCCACACCTGGTTTCCTCAGCCTGTGCCCAAGCTTGCGTGCACCTGTGACCTTCTAGTGCAAGGCTCTGGTCCGGCATTGAGCAGAACTCCTGCAAACTCTCAGCCAGTCTTACAGAGCCAGGCCCTAGGCCAAGCACCATGCATTCCCGTGATGCTGACGATGATGATGATGAGGATGATTATGATTATGATTATGATTATGATGCTGATGATGATGATGGTGGTGGTGGTGGTGATGCGCAGAATATTGTTTGCAAAACCAAAAGGATCGCCAAACAGACTCTAAATGTCCGTGAGCCATCTTTTTGTGGGAGTGGTTGGTTCGATTCCTGTGTATTTCTCCCTCGTCCAGGGGAGGTTCGGCCTTCGGATCCTCCAGCGCCGGGCGCCAGCGGCGCGGGGCTTCTTGACGCTGAGCAGAGCATCCGGAGGGAAGCAGGCGCTGTAGCGACACAGACAGGGACAGTGGGGAGGGAGGGCTGGGGAGGAGCTTTCGATGGGTTTAGGGAGATGGGGGCGCGGTGCGGGGAAGTCTTTTCGATAGGCGTCGCAGTTTTTCTCAACAGTGGTTTCTGATTTGAACATCTCAGAACATGCGCGGTGTGGGGATCGGGGAGGCAGCTTTACGCGGAGATGCAGGGCAATTCGGACCCGCACACGCCCAAGCCCTTGTTGCGACAGTGGCAATCCTTTCAGAACAAAGGGAGACAGCTGTCAGATTTCTAGAGCAGACTGCAACATACTGTAACTCACTACAACATAAACTGTTTTTAACAGACTCTAGTGGGACTTTAGTATACACACAACTTCACAACATGGCCGATGCAGATCGATCGGCAGGTGGTGCTGACGACTGCCAACGTGCTGCGCTTCTCCGTGTGGATGTCGGGCGGCCTGGGGCAACTCCTGCAAAAGGACAGAGAATGCTGACACTCCGTGATGTTTTTTTTGTGGGCTTTAGAGGGTGCCGTCTTAGAGGAAGGCGCCTCGGCCTCAGAGAGGGGAGAATCGTGGGTTTCTTGGGGTTCTCTTCCATAGGCTGCGGGACGTATTACTGTAGACGTTGAGTCCGAGCGCCCGCACAGGGGGACGAGCTGCTGCTGGACGGTGGCCTTCTGAAGCTGGGTGGTGCGGAGGAGGCGCCCTCAACATCCCTCAACAGTCCAGAGATGTCCAGAGGCCCTGCGGCTCGAATCCCATCGACCCGAGTGGGGCGTTCTCTGCAGGTCGAGGTGTGCCAAAGCTCTCCTGGCACCTGCACCGAGTCTGGGGAAGGATCCGGGGGATCTTGGCGTGTCTGCGGCCCCGGGGACTTGAGGCAGGCTCACGGCCATGGCTGACATGGTTTCGGGTTCAGTGCAGTTTAAGGGCTTAGAGGCTTAGAGTCTTCGAGGGCCTGCTATGCAATAATGATGTGAGTGCTTCTGATTCCCTACGGTAGCAGAAGAGGTCTTGGCTTGGGCGGGCCGCTGCCTGTGGTTTCACGGAGTTTTCAGAAGGTTTAGAGCCCAGGGGCAGCCGAAGGGCTCTGAGCTCGGAAGGAGGCCGGCTGGAAGCTTTCTTACACGTCCTCCTTCCCCGGCAGGCCCTCGCTGAGTCCGATCCGGCGGGTCTTCGCAGAGCCCTGGGTGTCTGGGATCAAAGAGCAGCACAGGGCACTGCCGCAAGAAGACCTGGACCTTTGTCTTTGTTTAGTCTTCGGCTTTTCAGCTCCACCTGTTTTTCAGGTTCTGGTGATTCCGGATACACCGTCGGCACTGGAGGCTTCCGAGAGGGTAGGGCCCACTTCGACTCGCATACTCTAGAGTCTAGAGCGAGGGCAAGGAAGCCAAGAGTGCCTCAACGATAGGTGCTGCTGGCCTCCTACTTCGTAGGAGGCCACCTCACGGCCGTGGGAACGGCGACCCAGGTGCTGACACAGACCGAGGACCGAGCAATGGGGATCGGGCGGATGAGTTGGGCTGAGGCTTAGGGTAGGGCGAGATCTTGGAATAAGGTTTCATCAGAGTCGGGTGTGTGATATCGGAGCAAACTAGCTGATGTCACTCGGACAGAGGTACCGACATCGAGACTCACAGCAATAGCAGTAGCATTTCTTTCTGCCACAACCACAGCAGTGCTGCTGAGAAAGATGCTGGCGAAGGCACATGAAAGAGCGGGCCAAAGCGACTTAGTTCTTCTCTTCCTCAGTCAGAGGGAGGGAATGAATGGGCCAAGGCTCTCTAGGTGGATGTTCTGCAGATAGGTGTGACAGTGGGAATCGATTGAACTCCTCAAATATGTGTTTCTTGATGTCTGAGCTGGAAACGGACATCCATGGTCGAGACATGGTCCCCATGTTCCGTCACGGCTGCCAAGCTGCCTGGGGGCACACAACCTGAAAAGACCGTCTTGGGTTTTGCAGCAAGCCAGGCTCACTATAGGGGCCGGAGCGCCTTACCTTCGGTAGCCAACAGCTCTGGTAGAGGCGAACGCCCTTCCTCTCTCCACTCCGTGAGGCCAGGGCCTTTCGCCAGTCGCACCGCTTTGTCTTTCTGGGCACGGTGGCACGCCTGCCATGGGGGAAGAGCTGGCCGCTCGAGCGCCCTGGCTTCAAGCAGCACCGAGCATGCAGAGGGTCATGCATAGACTGAATGGAATGAGACTTCAGAAGCGTGGTGAGGAAGATTATGATGACAGTTTCAACCTTGTGAGTTTTGTTGTTCTCGGCGGTTGTGATTCGGCTCCTGCTGCTTGCTGCAATGGGGCTAGTCTCCAGTGTACCGTTGCAATGCAGCATACCTTTGTAGTGGGGTGCTGCGAACTGAATCCACACCACTGACCACTGTTGAAGCCGCTGTAATCGGTGGATGCCGTGCCGCGGTGCCACGGCACGGACAAGCAGTTTCTTCCAAAGCCTCAGCCTGAAACGGCACTTCCTTTGCCTCTCTGAAGCTGAGGTTGAGATCCGGAGCCTCTGGGAACACGCAGCTGGGCTTCAAACCGTGGCAGATGGGCTCCGGAAAAAGTTGTGGCTTTCTCAGGTGTTTGCAGAGGGTCTCCAGTCAGTGGCGGATAGCATGTTCGGATTTGCCATCCTCATCCTCAGACGCGAAGGAGGGCAACAGGTGTTGTGTCTCTGTCTGTGTGTCTGTGTGTGTGTGTCAATGTCGCCGAGTTCTGTCCGAAGACCGCGCTCCGCACTTTTTGCTTTGCAAGGCTTCACCTGGGCGGCTGCCGTTTCGCTGGCCAGTACAGTGCCGTCTTCAGAGCGCCGGCAGAGGCGGTTCAGGGCGGTTCAGGGCGGTTGTGGGCTGCATGTAGGTTTGAGACATCACGCATCTGTCCTTTTGCGTTTCATTCGGTCCGTATTGGTCGGATCGTGATTGCCAGGAGGCGGCGAGAGCCGTAGCGTCGTGTGGTAGAACTGTTCAAACCGCGACAGCCTCTGTCCGAAGGGCTCAAAAGCGCTCAGAGCGCTTGACTTGGTGGTGACGGCCTTAGAGGACCAGGCGCTGGTGCCCGGGCCTGGAAAGCAAAAGCTTTTCGGGTTTCAGGGTTGGCAAGTTTCGAATTTCGAACTTCTCGGCGGCTTCTTTTGCTTTGCAACTTCGTGTCCTCTCCCGTTCCAGTCACGAGGTGGACTTGGTCTCGTACTCCTTCGCCACGAACCAGCCGCACACACGTGCGCCGATGTCGAACATGCTGCCGGATTTCATGGTGGCTGGTCCACACTTCCGATGGCCCTTTGGCAAAGTCGCAGTAACGAGTCTACATGTCGAGAATATCCCCTCCTCTAGATGTCTCCAGAAGGGGTCTTTTTTGGCAGTTAAACTCACCTGCTTGCGAAGTCTTTTTCTTTTCTCACCTTGAAGGGAAGTGAGCCCGGCCATTTGGGAGAGCTCAAGGTTTCCTGTTGGCTCGCAGTCACTCGACAGCTCAGGAAGGGCTACGGTGGGGTCGTGGCTGCCGGCTATTGGGATGAGTCCTGGCAGCCGGCACGCAACTCTGCGTACTTTCGATGCTGACCGAAAAAGGCTTCGGATGGAAGCGAGATTTTGTAGCTGACGGCGGCACGGACACTTTGAGACTTTCTGCTTTGGGAAGTGCGATGGAGCTTCGCATGCGTTCCTATCAGGCAAGAGAGCGATGAGCGAAGCGCAGGTGCTGCTACACAAGTTCCAGCTGTCATAGCAGGGACTAGCAGTTGGCAATCAGCATCTGCTAGGCGAATCCTCTTCTTAAGTTTAATTTCGCGACCATTGCTCAACGCACTCGCTTACCAGCTTGCACCAATCTCCATCGACTTTCTAGCGTGGCCTTCACCGATGGAGAGTATCAGATGGAAGCCGTTGTACAGGCTGGCCATGAAGACGCTGGCTGGTCATGCCAATGGCTTAGCCGGCCTTATGGCATTCCAGTACATTGTCTTCAAGCGCGCTCTTAGCGAGGTCTCGCTCCAGGACGGCTCCGTAGTGGTTTGGTGCTTGGTTTTAGCCATCGCGGCTTTCACTTGCAGCGCAATGCTCGCTAGCACGTCGTTTATGCTCGCCGACTACTTAAGGCGGGTCGCCATTGACAAAGCCATGTCCCGTGGATTCGGGCTCCAGCTTCCGGCCAGGAGTATTAGGCAGAGCCGTATCGGAGTTTGCACTGTCCTCTTGGCCCTCATGAACTTGGCTTTGCTTCATCGTGGAGCTCTGTGGAAAGAAACGCCCTTGAAAGACGTTCCTCTGGAAGATGTCCAGCGAGTGGTGCCGCTGCTACTGTATGTAGTGAACCTGGTGGACTTGTGCAGTCGCCAAAGATTCGATGGCACGAACGCCAGTGTTGCTCATGCAAAGCCAGGAACTGCTTGTCACTTTCCTACTGATGGACGGCGTCGCCCATGAGCAGGTTCCGTCGTATCAAGGATGGATATGCCAGAAGGTCCGGGCAGTTCGTCAACATGCGCCAAGGGAGGACGGCATCGAGCTCGCATCTTGCAGCAGAACCGATGTGGTCGGTGCAAGCCCAGCAGAGTGGCCACGCCCAGCGGAGCCTGAGGTGTCTGACAAGACTTTCGCGGACCTGCCCTCCCCGGTAGAAAAACTCCCTGCTCTCATGTCTCATCGCCCTGGAGTGCTGCCACTACACCTGCTCTTGGCGCTCGTTGTTGTAGCATCTCTTGTTTATCTCCCGGTTGCGACGCTCCAGATCTACGAACGGCTTTTCACGCCGCAGATGAAGAACTTCGAAGTTCATGGAGGCAGTTTCTGCGAGGAGCGGGGCGAAGTGAGCCACGGTTCTTCTACGACATCGGGAGATCAAACGACAGGTTCATCATTGCTTTTGTGCTTACCTAGCTTTTCCATCCACCCATCGCGCCACTGCTAGCAACTCCACTTGTCTTCATCCAGATGTCTGGATTTTCTAAACTTTCAGTGCACGCGAGACCATGAATGAAGGAGTCTTTTTTCGCTCTGTTTGTCCCTGTGTGTATGTGAACATATATATATATATATACACACATAGAATTATATATATATATATATATATGTGTGTGCGTGTGTGTGCTTGTATATATATATATATATATCTGTGTGTACGACCCCTTGTCGTGGCGTTTGCTTTCCCAGCGACATGCTTTCCTGACTGCAGACACCTCCACGGACCCAGCACTTTCTACCTTTGCCCCAGCGACCGCTGTTCCGAGCCCCAGCGCCGGAAGGCCAACGTGAAGCTCTACTCGCCAAGCATAGCCTCTGCCTCTTCCGGGAGCCGTTTCAGAGCCGTTTCAAGCCCCCGCGGCGGGCCGGGCCCTGGGGACATCTCAAGGCCGGACGAGAGAGGGAGAGTCGAGAGCCACTGCGACAGGCTTTGGTTTTGCGATCGTGGAGTTGTAACTCAGCTTCTGCAAAGTCACGGTCGGGGTTGGGCTTGAAGGCTTCGCGGTGCCTGAAGGACTGGGCTTCGGGACTTTCCTTGCAAGAGCATCCCAGCATCCCTAGGCCCGGAACCCTTTGCGATTGCATGCCCCTCGATGGCCGAAAGCGGACACCAGACATCACCAGAAGCAAAACTGGCACTTTCGGAATCCCTGAGCATAGCGGTGAAGAGCGCCAGTGCCGGGGATTTCTGCTCTCAGAGACGCGCAGGCCAAGCCACGGCCATGGCGCTCACCGCCGCCTGGGCCCAAAGAGAGCAGAGCCCAGAAGGAAGAGGAAACCCGGGCCGAGACGGCCATGAGGGGGCCGAGAGACTCTCGCGTGATTCGAGGCTCGTTTCTCGCTCCGAGCGCGAGCCGGTCTTGCGCAGGGCCAGCTCCGGGCCCGGGCTTGGGTTTCACGGAGTCTTTGCTTTGTTTCACGGAGAAGGGTTTCGGTCGACTCGGCCCCAGGCTCCGTCAGAGACTTGTTGGGTGATGCTCTCCACGTCTAGTGTGTCGCAGCGGGCAGAAGCACTCCAGAATCGCAAAGTTGGCCACCAACGGGCAGTATGATGAAACCCTCTGTTTCACAGAAGAGCTATGATTGCTGCAGGCAATCGCGGAGCGAGAGTGGCACTGCCACTCCGGGCCTTCTCGGGAGGGCAGGCACCGGCCGGCATTTCAGCACCCTCTCCCGCAAGATGCCTCTGCGCCCTAAACCCTTGTCCGCTGCAACCGAAACTGACGGTAAGTCTCACTAAGTCACTAAGGCACGAAAAGGCACGGTTTCGAGCTCCCTCCGAAACCCTGGAGCCTGAGAAAGACTCCTTTTCCGCAGGGGAGCCCCTGGTCCTCCCTGGAGCAGTTTGGGCGCGAGACCATGGGCAAGGCCTCGGAGGCGCAGGGAGGGAGAGTATGAAAGGCCGCTGTGACATGAAATTGGAGGGGGCTCTTGGTTTTTAAGGGTTCTAAGAGGTGGACAGACAGAAGGTGAGATGGATAGAGAGATAGACAGAGAAGCAGATGGATAGATAGATAGATTGTATGTGTGCATAGATGCACGTATGTATGTATGTACGGTTGTATGCATGTATGTATGCATACATGTTGGTGTGTAGGTATGTCTGCACATGTGTTTAAGTTTACCTACACATGCGCTCGCAGATTGAAAATGGTTGCCCATCATGTCCAGGCAGCGAGCAAGCTGGGTGAGTCCATCCCTACGCAGGCACTTATGTGACTTATGTGGCTGCCGGGGGCTGTTAGCCTGAAGCTGTACATACTGTACCCTGCCGCATGATCCTCATCAGTTTGGATATCGTTGTGGTAGGTTTCAGTCTTTCAATCATGTGCCCCGGCCTTCTGGTTGTGTTTTCCAGGATTAGGCACTTACCGCATGGACTCGTGGGAGAGTCACGCAGCAGACTGGAATGAGCTCATACCATGCTACTACACAGTCACCACGTCACCACAGCGTTAGCCTAGTCCACATGACCTTGCTCGTTCTTACAGTGCTTATCTCGCGTCAGGCGACCTTACGACCAGGTTCGGACATCAGGATGCATAGTCGGGTCAGCAGTTCTTACAGTCTGAATCTTCTTAGTGACACTGCTCGATATCATCATTCTAATAGGCTATACCATCGGAATCTTGGGTTGAAAGCTGCGGGAAAGCTTTGTTCAGTTGGGCGGCATGGAGACTACTTGGCACCAAGGGTGTACAGGTTGGCAAACCGACACAACTAAACCCTAAAAGCCTCATGGTCTCGCCTCCCATCAGCCCTGATCCCGGAGCTCCGTGCGCCCAGGGAAACCCGGTCGAAGGGCTTCACAACCTCGCAAAGGCAGGGCTTTCCCGAAGCATGTTCACTTGTGACTAAGCTTGTGTTATTCTTTGTTGTGTTTGAATTGTTGTGGTCGTGGTGTTCGAAGTTGGTCGTGGGGTTGGCTGTGGTTGTCTTCTTACTTCGTAATTGCTGTCTGTTGTTGTTGTTGTCGTCGTTGCTGCTGCTTCTTCTTGCTCCTGCGATCTTTGGGCCTGAGTGCTCTGATGAGAAAGGCTAGCGTCCACGAGCTGTTGAGAGCTGGTGTCGGGCACTCAGTGTCAGAAGTCACCCTCACCAGGTGGCACTGTGCTTCTTTTGGACTGAATCCTGCAAGCGTTGGGACTTAGATTCCTCTTGCCGCAGCGCTTCTGACGATCACCCGGTCGCCCGGCAGCAAGCTGTCGGCGGCGCAAGAGGCCTGGATGGGGGTCGAGACGGGAGGGCCCAGGACAGGTGTGGAAGGACGATTAAGACCCCTGGTCAGGAAAAGCTTGCGGAGCTGCTCCCGCCGCCAGCCATCGATGCCATCAAGGATCGCATCGCATGCCCGTGGGGCCTACACTCTGCACCACTTTAAGACACCGATCCGCCCATCCGAATCCCATGTTGCCTGTCTTGGCTGCAGTCCTTCGGCGATCACATTCCGGAAGATCCGACGGCCGATTCCTCAAGATCTTCAGACTCTTGTCGGCTAGTCTTGATTACAGCGAACACGGCCGGAGTCAGATAATTACCAACACGATTTTGGGGGTTCCTCCTTATTGTAGTTATAGTATACTATACCCAAGACCCGTTTCCAATCACTGAGGCCCCTATATAGTAAGTGGGTTTGATCGAGAACGCCTCCCCGCCTTGTTTCTCTCTGGAATTCAAGTGTTTTGGTTGGCAGTAGGCACGTCTTGCGGACTTTAAGCCTGTGTGAAGAGAACGAGGCCCCTATAGTATTGAGCAAGGGCCTTCTTTCACCTTCTGCCAAGGTCGTCGAGCTGCGACGCATCGCGGACTGCTTGGAGAAGCACCAGGTTCCCCGTGCGGCGTCGACCCGTCTGATCCAGGGCATACTCTGGGTACGCTGAATCCTTAAACTAGACACCGTCTGTAGGGTACCCCGATCACAGCTGCATCGCCTGAATACTAATGTAGCACCAGTACTACTATATAGTTGCAGTACGCTCCTACTATAGCATTGTACTAGTATCATGTATCATAATTCCAGCATAATAGCACGACAGTGTTCTAGCAGCTAGCAGTCTATGGTCCCAGTCTCTTGTTCCCCCCAAACCCTAAACCCCTCAACCCTTGCAACCCTAAACTTAAAACCCTAAACCCCTCAACCCTAAACCCCTCGACCCTAAACTCAAAAACCCCTAAACCCCTCGACCCACAACCTAAAACCCCAAAAGCCCCTCGACCCTAAACTTAAAACCCCCAAAACCCCAAAAAACCCTAAACTAAAACCCCAAAAAGCCCCTAAAATTTTAGCAGTTTCCCTGGTCCCCAGTCGTTTGTTTCCCCCCCTTTCGCTTGCCTCTCAAAGGCGGCCTCCGGAGCCTCGGCGCCTTCGCCTTCGGCCTCCACAGGCGCGCGGCAGGGGGGCGCGGGAGAAGGGCGGGTTGGGGTTTAGGGGCTGTGGGCTTGGGGTTGAGGGTTTTTTTGGGCTTGGAGTTTCGGGTTTGGGGTTTAGGGGTTTTGAGGGTTTTTGGGCTTGGGGTTGAGGGTTTTGGGTGTATAGGGCTGAGGGTTTTGGGCTTGGGGTTTCGGGTTTTGGGTGTCGGCTGGCTTAGTGTGACACTTAGGGTTTAGGCTTTCTGCTTAGGTTTAGGGTTCAGGGTATAGGCTTAGTGTGGCACTTAGGGTTTAGGCTTTCGGCTCAGCGTGGCACTTAGGGTTTAGCGTTTAAAGGGTGAAATAGGTAGTTACCGTTGTTACTGTTATTGTCCTTGTTGTTCTTTTGCTTCTCATTGTTGATATTATCATTTAGCATTTTCAGTGTTGTATTCGTTATACCATTGTTGCTGTTCCCTTTAGTATTGCTGTTACTGTTGCTGTTGCAGTAACTTGTACTCGTGCTAGTACTATTATGCTTCTTTGAAACTTAAGTTTTTGTTTATACTCAGCCCTGTCCCTGAAGCCTGGCCCTTGTTAGGCCTTCACTTCAGTGCCTTTAGTTGGGGCATCCTGGGCTCGAAGGGCCCTTTGGGTGGATGTTGGGTTTGAAGTTTCAGGGTCAGGTAGCCTTGCTGTGCAGGTTTCTGGTCATGTCGGTGATGCGGCAGGAAAAGAGTGGGCTGGTATTCAGCAACTGCCTCGTGCTGTTGCAATTTGCCACTCGTTCTCCTGCTGCTACTGCTATAGCACTGACTGCTGCTACTCTCACTACTTATACGGTTGTGAACGTCATGGTTTCAAGAAAGCGGAAGCTGCACACCCACAAACTTGACAAGAGAAACGATCGCGAAGGAGCACCCACTTCCCAGCCAGGGTCGCAGAGCGAGTGAAGGCACCACTCGCGCAGGGACTGCGAGGGCTCAGATCATGTTCGATCTTTGGTTTCTTGGGTGCACGGTTCCTTGTTTCTTCCATTGTAATCGAATACATGGAAAAGGACTTCAGTGATTTGTGCACCGGAACATAGGGGTTCATCAACAGGTCAAAGCAAAAGTGCATCCCTGCCGCGCAAGAAGCTCGAACATACGTACGCACTCGAGCGTGACGCATACCCTGAGACCTTCTCATTTTTGCTCGGCAGTGTGACTGCAATCAGGTGCAATGTGTGTCGCAGTGTTGAGCACCTGCCGCTAACCCAGCTCCTGCCGACGAGTCTCACGATTTGCGCAAGCGTGAGACGTAACAGTTTAGTTTTTGCAGTGCAGGTGCGGTGAGCAATCGTGGTGCGGCGTGCCTCCTTGCCCCGCGCCTATCCTAGTGAAACGCAGGGTAGCTTGATGAAGAGGCGGCCGCATCAACCAGCCCCAGCGTGCTCGACGTGTGCAGCCGGCCAACGAAGTGTCGGACCGATCATCTCGAAAATAAAAGCTTCGCCGAGCAGGTGCTTGACTGTAGGTTGATGTAGACTCAATGTAGACTATGTCCGGAGAAGTGCTTTACCGTCCACTTTTCTACAACGCGTCGTTGCAGAGTCTCGCGGCCTCTTGCCGGCCCGAAGAGGCCGAGCAAGTTCCGCTCACGCGATGCATCGACGCAGCTAAAGGCAGCGACGTGCGGAAGCTCCCAGCGGGGATCCCTTCCCGTCCTGGAGGAGCTTTCGTTCCAGAAGGATGAAGATCGTTGTAGAAGCATCCTACGAGTCCCACTTCCCAAACTCCGACAAGACTGCCGGAACTGCGTCCCAACGAAGCCGGAGCGATTGTGAGGGTTCTGAGCTTAGGTGAGAGCTTGCGCACTAACTCCGACAGCTCAACGCCGCACGAAGAGTATCTGCAGCCTTGCAGCGACAGTCTTCTCAGCCACCGGATGCATCACACCGTGCCAACATAAACCTAAGCACCACACCCCAAAGCCCCGCTCGAACACTAAGTCTGGTGCATCTGCCCTCCTCGACCCGTGACCCAAAAGCCCTTGAATAAGACCCACGCACGCCACCTACCCCCACAGAGCTCAGAAACCGAATCCCTGCACCCTGCACTCTTCTAGCGGGGCCGCACATGTCTCCGTCCAGAGGGCACTGAGAGGATGCGCCTCGGCTTCAAGAGGGGCACGAAGGCAGAGTTTTGCAGGGGTTGAGGTGTAGGGCGGCTACTTGGAGGATCATGGGACTTAGTAAGTAGGGTTATAAGTCCCTTAATTGGGGTTATAAGTATAGTTACACCAATAATAGGCCTACTTACTAAGTCCCATGATCCCTCAAGTAGGTTGTAGGGTTTGGGAGTAGGATTTCCCTGTCCCTGCCCGGCAGTTTCGGGATTCCTCTCTGATCGGTGTTTCACAGCTGCAGATCTTTTCCCAATGAGCGTGAGCAGCTTTGTGTCATACGCCGTTGGTTTATACACAGATACACACGCACAGACCTGTGCATACATTTATGTTTATACTCATGTGTGTATTTTTGATAGATGGACATGTATATGTATATGTATGCGTAGATTGTGTCTGTATATGTATTTACAGTGTCTTTAGCATTTGCTATCATGAAAGGGTCACGCTGATGTACAATGTTTCACAAGCCCATATGGGGGTTTCCGAAAATAGGGGACCCTAATATAGTACCCCAAATTAAAGGATCCTTATTACAAGGACCCCAAAATAAGGAAATAAGGTACCCCTAATTTTCGGAAATTCGGAAACCCCCATATGGTGGGCCATGGCTAGAGCAGAAGGGGCTTCGCGGTTCCGAGGCCCCCCTGGCGTCTTCTCCTTGGGGCACTGGGTGTTGCTCGTTGTGCGGAGCTAAGAACGGTGTGTGAGACAAGTCCTTTTTGGGACTTCTGGACTTCCTTCATCCACCCAGAGAAGTGGGGGTTTCCGAAAACAGGGGACCCTAATATAGTACCCTAATTAATCGGGTCCCTATTATAAGGACCCCAAAATAAGGTACCCTAATTTTCTGAAACTCCCAAGTATTTACTAGCAAAAAGCGTTGTTGTGGGCGTCGTCTCTTGTGAACTGGCAGCGTCGGTCCGTCTTCCCAGGCAGCCAAGCAGCACCCGCAGCACGGTCCTCGGTTCCGAGCCAACCGGAAGACTTCGGCATGCCTTTGCCAGTGCAAGGCCAAGGTAGTTCTATAATGTGCTACAATATAATACCATCATCTACTATAACGTACTACAATACCATGAGGTACGACCCTAATATACGAGAGAATGCTTAGAGGCAGACGGAGGGCAGCAAAGAAGCTCCTCCGGCCGGCGCTCCGCCGCTCCGCCCTTCCCAGGCAGAGCAAACGTTGTCTCCGGAGCAGCTCGAGGAGCTGGTGAGCAAGGAGCTCTTGGCCCAGGCAGGGACGGCGATGACTGCGGAGGGGCGGGGGGAAGGGGAAGGGGGGGCGGGAAAAGGGGGGGAAAATGGGGGGCCCAAGCCGCACAAAGAAAAGTTGTTCCGAAGGTTTCGGCCAAAGGCAAAGGCAGCGCCTGCACTCATAGCTACGCATACCAGGGCACACCCCAAGAAACCCATCGAAGCTGCCCAGCAAGTCGGAATGCTCCAGCTACCACGCAAGCTTCCAGAAGCGCTCGGAGGATGCGGCGGCGTCAGAGCCCCTGCAGAGACTCGACGAGTTTCTCCAGGCCTTCAGTCGCAGATGCGAAGTGGTAAAACACACCCAGCACTCCGCAGCCCACTCCCGAGATTCCCGAGCTGCTCGGAGGTGCAAGAGATGGACTGCTCCGCACGCCTCTTCTACCTCATGAACCGGCCGGGGCCCATGGAATCAGGGATCGTCCGCCCTTCCTTTCAAGCCTTTTCGAGCACTTTGTGGTGCAGAACCGTGGGTTTGCGCGACGAGCTCGCGACGCTCCATTCGGACTTCATGGGCGTCGCGGGCGTCTACCTGCAGCTGATGCAGCACATGCCACTGGGCCCAAAGTCCTAAAGGCTTAAAGGGGGAGTTTTGAGCTCGGAGCGCGGTTCCGAGGCCCTCGGAGAGCGTCTGGGTCTGGCTCCTCTGCACCTCCGAGGAGCGGCTCACGCAGAAGGCGCTGGGCGAAAGAAAGCCGCCCCGGCTGGGGCGTAGGGACGGCTGTTACTGCGGCGACAGCGCGTTCCGTGTTGCAGGTGCAGAGCTACTTCTTCCGCATCATGGCCCTGGCGGTGGACCAGCACCACTGCCTCAAGGCTTTTTTGTGCAGAAGTCGAGTCCACTTCCTGGTCTCTGACGATCATGCTTTTGGGTCGTTCGCGTCGTATCTTCGTGTGATCCGTCACCGCCATCGCGCTCTGCACTCCCTGAAACACGCGTATACGCACGAGCCAGCCTGAGAGGCCATCGCGCGGGATGCCGTGCTTCGCGGCGTGGAGGGCTGGCTCCACGGCTGCATGCGCTCCCCGAAAGCACCCCCTACAAGCAAGTTCTCTCGCTGAAGTCGACCTATGGCAACATGTAGTCTTGCTGTCGGACCGACAGCTGTGAAGAGTCTAGAGGCTAGACTTCACAGCAACGACCGAAAGCAGTCGCAAGTACTGTAGACGAGTCAGTTGCTCTAAGGAAAAAGCTCCATGTGGACTACTTGGCGCAGCAGTGGTGCCCCAGTTGGCCCCGCCCTCCAGCCACAACTCCAGTTTGGGTCCGCAGGTTTGACTGTGCCAGGCAACCGAAAGATGTGGGACCTTGCTCCAATCAGCGATCTTCAATCACGTCTCCAATGCATGAGTGTGGCCCGCAGATAGCTCGTCCCGCGTGGTCTTGTTGCTGATGCTGCCGCTGTTGGTGCTGCTGTCGCCGTATTGTTGCCGTGGTTCTTCCCGTGGCGGTTGTTGTTTTCAGGGGCCCCAGGGGTGGTAGTCTTGTTTGGTCGATTTTTGTGGGATTCTTGTGGTGCTTTTGCGGCAGTTCCGCGCAGGTACGGCTTCGCCTTCGGAACTTTCAACCAGCCGGGCATGTCGGCCGGTGACGGAGGTGCGTAGAGCACAGGTTGCGTTTTCCGTGGGAAGGGGACCTCCAAACCAAACACGTTCAACATTAGCACAGGCGCCACCATGTGAGTTTCCATGGATTCTGTGGTGTGAGTTCTCTCTGGGGGGGAGGACGCCGTCCTGCAGAAAAAAGTTGCAGAACTCGACGCCCCGGCTTCGAAAGCCGCCCAAGCCGCCAAGGCTCTGCAGCGCCTCCAGGTGCCCCGTCCTCTGCACAGGCCGGGAGACCAAGAGGGAGCCAGCCTTCACTACGAGATCCTTGTGTGTGTGTGTGTATGTGACATGGTCTTTTCGGTTTTAGCTGACGGTGTCGTGAGGGAGCCGCTGTTTGCGGAAGTCGATTTCGCACTGGATGGAACGTGCACGCCGTGCGAAGGAGAGCTTCGTGGCCGGCAGCTTCTGGATTAGCAAAGTCTTCCGCTGGCCATCGGCTCAGGTCTCAAATTCGAAAGAGGCCTAAAAAGGAGCATGCGCCCCAGGTTCGATGGCTACGCACAGGATCTCTACAAGGCGGAGCTACTTCCGCACTCCAAGCGAGAAAAAAGGCTAGGCATCATGAGTCATGTCTCACAGTGAAGGCCATGCTCGAGCTGGAGGGGGCGGAACTGCAACTTGGCGTGCAAATGGGTGCTCCAGGCTATGGGTGTACCCTACACTAGACTAGGGTCCACGTTGCGGCACTTATTGCATTAGTAGGTGGGTCGTAGTGATGTAGTGATGTTCGTACTGGTGCTACTGATCCTTCTCAGAGCTACTTACGGGAGGGTTGAGGTCGTTGCAGCCTCTTTTCCGTATCAATGGATACATCCGCGTGAACATATGCAGGGAAACTGAGTGGGCGACTGATTAATAAACACATGATTTGACTCTAATTGGCTGTACATACCTACATCAGCCTACAGCCTACATAGGTACACATGCGCTGAAGGAAACAGTACAGCTTCTTTTCGGTAATACTGATGCTGGCTACATGCTTGGCTTCATACATCCGGCGCGGCGGAAAGGTTCTGAGCATGTTCGAGGGTGGGATCTTTTCCAGTACAGCTCCAACTCTCGGCCAGAGGAAGAAGGAGCAAGGATCAAAGCGAAGGCTCTTGTCTTGTACCCGTCAAGAGCACCTGCCAGTTCAAGAGCTTGGCCGTTGTGTATGTCACACGAGACGAGACCGCCTGCAACCGAGGACGTCCGGCGAGGGCCCAGTACGCCTGCACCACCAGGACGTGGTGCAGCAGACTGCTCGCGTCCCACGCGCAGAGATCCCTCCCTTCTGCCATCTTGAGCCATCTGAAGTCCCCTCCTGCAGGATGAACAGGGATCCTTCGTGACCTACGAGTTCCTGCGGCGGAAGGCGAGTGAAAGCGTCTCCCTCGCCTCCACCCTCTCCAAGCCGTAAAGCGCCGTAAAGTCTGGAGGTGTTCGGCCAGTGGGCCATTGACAAAGGGCTCCTCCGCCGGGGCCCCGGCAGGTTTGCGTGAGCTCACTAATCTCGCTCGAGCTTCGAACCCTGCCTTCCCACCAGTCAAGACTGATGTTGCAACAAGATTCCACGTTCCTACACTTCCAGAAGACGTCGACTTCAGATCACCACCATAGAAACCAACCACCATGTAGAATCACCACGGCTGACACATCAACCGAAGCCGCTTAGAACACTGACAGCGCACGGGCGACGGGCCGCAGGATGCAGGTTTTGATTCACAAGAACATCTCGTCATCGGTCTTTGCTGACTGCTTTGGAGAAGTGCTAGTTGATAGCAGTAGAAGAAGGTAGGCTGAGGCAAGGTCGAGTGAGAAGCTGTCTTCGTGCCAAGGTGGACTGATACGCCACGTTTGGCAGCGGAGCCGGCATACCTTGGGAAGTTCGGAGCATGGCATCTAAACCCTAAACCCTAAGGCCCTAAACCCGTTTTGGCCTCGGCTCCTGGCACCAGGCCGGGCTTTGAGGAGACCACGGCCATCGGCGACTTCGGAGCCGGAGGCCGGCGCCTCACGAAGTGTCCTCGAAGTCTCCCTGTTGTTTTTTCAGAAAATCTCCCAAAACGCGAAGGGTCTCTTAGCAACTTTAGCGCTTTTTGGCGTCGACATGCGAGAGAGAAGAGGTGGCCCCTGTGACTCTTTGACGCAGGCGGTCACTACAGCAAGTGGATCCTCGGCTGTGATGCACTCTCGCGTGCGACATCATGCTTGGGATTCAACCCTAGGCGTCAGTGCGACTTGGGCGGTGCTCGAACTTTCATGTGCAGATCGTTGTTTACAGCCTTATAGCCTTATAGCCCACAAGCTCCCAAGAGATCCTCAGTAAACACGCGTTTTTTCAACCTTTCGTTGCATCCCAAAGAAGAAAGCACACGCCGCATTCAAAGGCTCAATGAGACAGGCCTGGTGGAGGCTTTTGCCTTCGACGGCACACACCAGGCGGCTCTTTTGGAGCCCATGGCCAAGCAGTCACCGGCAGCAAAGTGGTAGGCGCGCCTTTTGAGGCAAAGCAGCAAGAGCAACATATTGTCAGCACAGCAGTAAAGCCACCAGACAAAGCGCCGATGGTGATGCGCATAAGAATCCGGCTGAGCTCGTCGGTTTTTTAGCAAGACATGAATTAAAGGCGTTCAGAACCCAAAAACATCACCAGAAGCAGGCTGCCGAACTCACGGATGGTCTGGTGCAAGAGGTGAACCTCGTGCAGGCCTGCGGGTGCCATGTTTCGGAGGCTGTTCTCGTGCAAGGCCTTCTAAAGATTCTCAAGTACATGTCCATGAGTCCATGTATGTATGTGTGTGTGTGTTGTCCGACAGAGAGAGAGCTCAAGTGAGGCAAGTATCAATTCTCTTTTTCCTCTTTTCAGCCGTGAGCTTGGGAATGGCGGAGACGGCGGAGGTGGAGCGCACAGCTGACACCAAGTCTGCTGAGGAGCCCAAGATGCCGAAAGCAGAGGATCAGCATCTTCTGTTCTTGGACCTTTGGGCCGCCAACTTCCTGCTGCCACTCATCCTACAACCCGAGAAATACTCAGCTTGCGACAAAATTCTTTGGTTGATCCTAATCCGTGTGCCCTTGTACATTGTCCTGGCAGTCGAGTTCATGTTCATTTGGCACGTTGAGACAATCGTGATGGAGGCTGAGACTGATGCTTGGGAGCTCACTGGAGACTATGAAGACTGGAGCGGACCAGATTTTGTTTTGACTACAGCGTGTGTGTCCATCATGGCTGCCAATATGATGGCGCAGCGATGAACGACTCCAGGCAAAAGAAGAAGAGAATGAGCAACCTCCGCCGGGTGAGCTTACTTTGCTCAACAGGCTCTTCTGGTGTGTTTTGCTTGTTTTGCGTTGCTATTTGGGTGTTCGCTTCTTCAACATCGCAGTGGGACATATCACCTTCGCTGCAAGTGCTGAAGATGAGATCTTGAACACAACTGCCATGGTCTTTGTGCTGGAAATTGACGAGGTGATCCTACAGCTCACTTTCTCTCCTGAAATGATCAATTTGCTAAGCAAAGTGCCAGCTGTCTCCGGCAATCTGCCATACAAAGAGCATGTGGCTTCCCTGCGCAAAAGTGCCACCACCTTCGTGAAATTGCAGTTCTACCAGGGTCTTGTCCGCTTCGTGGGCTTTCTTTGGGCCACAGGGTGGGCTACTCTGACCTGGTTGCAAGCATACATGGGCGCAACAGCGTTAAAGTGGCAGCAACTTCTTCTAATCCATGCTGCACCGTACATGCTGGTAATGTGTTTGTATGTTGGCTATGGGATTGCTGGAAGATGGGTGATGGCTACAAACAAGCTCTGAGAGGGAAAGTTGTGAGGTTGAGGTGGAGAAGTTTGTCTGCTTTGCCAAGCTAACAGCCTGTGTGCCTTCGAGCTGTTGAGCGGCTGAGCCTCCAGAATGCAGCAATTCAGATCCTTTGCCCTTGATCCCTTGATCATGCTCTAAAAGAGCTATGCAACGCTTCTGCGGTTCACCTGAACAATACATCTGTGACCAAGACCTTTGTTCGTTTTCCGTGGGCCTTCTTCGGAGATGTGTTTTTTCTGAGTGCACCGAGCTGTGGAGCAGCACCGGCGAGGCACAACGAGGTACCGAGTCCATCCTCGCTGCAAATCCTAGTATTTCCTGTGCGCTCTCATCGCCTTCTTACTTGGTTACTGGCTGGTTACACACACGAGGGGGACACTGGTACCTGAAACCTTTTCTCACCCCCCCCTTTACTTCGCAGACGTTTCCCACAGCAAAGTTGCCGCCCGAAGACAATGCCCCGTGCAACTCCAGTGTGTGATGCAGATGTTGAATATCCTGCCTTGCATGTCTTTTGGTATTGCCAGCACGAGGACATTCACGGGGAACAGGCAACTGAAAGCTGTGAACAACCTAGATGTCTTCGACAAAGTTTTTTTTTCGCCTTCGTATCAACCCTGAATTTCAATGTCCTTCGGTATCGATGTCTCTGAGCTGTTACAGTCGATGAGATTGAAGCAACAGGGGGAGTAGCTGGCTTTCAAAAGGAAGCTCTGAGGTTGAAGAGAGGGGCCCCTGAAGAGTTTCGAGTCGTCGCTGGTGGTACGTACTGGTGTGGTGCCTTAAACCGTGCATCGGCTTGTTTTTTCCAACCGAAGGGGAACCATATGCCTTTTTCCGAGCTCCTTGTTCTCACGCCCTTCCCATCGGTGCGGAGGGCTTCGCACGCCCTCTGGACCCCGTGAGTGAAGTGAAGCGATGGATCGTGCGAGGCTGTAAGGCACTGTGAGGGCGCACATTCTTAGTATGTTGTGTTGTCATGCTGCAGACGATCATGGAAGCCCAATGCCTTGCAGGACCTGACCTTGTGGCGCACTTTTGACTGGGTGCTGTGCCTGGAGGTCGGCGAGCACGTGCCGAAACAGCAGCCAGGCCGCACAATCAGTCGAGGCACTTGGGAAAATCCTGCAAAGATGCTACTGTGATACTGGCGCCCATCGACTGTGGTCGGAATCGGTCTGAATCGAGTGCTCCTCGACTCGTCCTCCTCGTGATGACTCTAGCGACGACGACGACGACGACGAGTGCTACTAGCACGACGACCCGACGGTACACAACTGTCAAACCCAGCAGCAAAGAACGAACTACTGCTCCCGTTGCTCAGTTCAGTCGGCAGCTACTACCTCAGAGGAGGGCTCTGATAAGACGAGTTCGGAGGGGGGGGCGGGTCGCTTTGAGAGCTCCGCCCTGAGGTACTCCTCGACGCTCCTGTCGAACCTGAAGCGCCACGCTCGGAAGGCGCCTGCTGTGAACTTCTCTTGGGGGGATCTGGTATCTGCCAGCTTCTGGCGAAGCATTTGCATTGGGAAACTGGGCTCATTCATCCTTGGTTTTTGCCACTTACTATCTGCAGTGTTGGGGCCCTTCAGCTTGACTGAGGACCACCAGCATCATAGTGGGGACGTTTCACGTCTACGCTCCTCTTATGTTCCAGTGCACACTCTTGTTCGAGTGAGTGGTTGCTCGATGATTTCGTGAGAGTTGTACTCGCAGCCGACAGAAGCAGAAAGCTCCTTCTCGTCGGGTTCCACGCATGTAGAGATGGTGACTTGAGCAATGAGGGATTGGACGGAAGCGGTGTGAGAATGCCAAAGGGCCAAAGGGTCTGGTGGGGCACCATTCGGGCCTTGAGCTCGTGCCTTAGCCGCCTTCGTGCAAGGTGGCATAGCTTGGAGGCAAGCTCAAACTCCTGTACGTGGTGGGCGCTGCTACTGCAATTGCAGCGAAGCAGACGGCCATGCGCGAGCAAAACATCGCCAACGAAGCTGGCAGTCCAAAAACGGTTGGATTAGTCGCAATCTGAACGCACGGCAGGCTAGGTTACTGACCGTTGCAGCCTGGCATGGTGATGCGGCGGTATCTGCTTGGCACAGCATCCCTGTGCAGAAGTATGGGCGGACGGACTTGTTCCAGCATGGGCCATCATCGTTAGAAAAAGGTCAGCGACTGTGCTGCTCGCCACGGATGCAAAGCATTTCGACTAGACGATGTGGAGCAGTGGAGCAGTTCTTGAAACCTTGGCTGGGGCGTACATTGTGCTGCTCGTGATGTTCGCGCTGGAAAACGGCTTGCCGGAGAAAAAAGAGCTAACAGTATTCCCGTCATCCCGTCCCGATGCTGGCAGACATCAGCGTAGGCGCGAATCCTTCCCATCGTATGGTGCTCAGGGGTTGGGGTTCACACTGTGCTAAACCCTTAAGCCTTAAGCCTTAAGCACGACTCTGAAGACATTTCTGCACTTTGCCTTTCGCAGGGCCTCGTGATGTCCTGGTCCGACGACTGGGAGGGCATCGGCCACGTCAATTGCCTCTCCCGGCCCGAGTTTATAGCACGGGAGCCCAGAGGTCCCAGGGTGGTAGTCTTCGCCATCGCCGTGGTAGTGCCGTGGTCGTTGTCGCCGTGGTAGTGCCTGGTCGTCGTGGTACAGCCAAGCTGTGGTTACTGCGAACGGTGCAATGATGTGCAATGTCAGAGTCCGAAGCCCAAGGCCTTCGTTCAAAAGTCCACAGGCTTCGTCCTGGACGAGGCAGCCACAGAGGCTGGATCTGAGCTGCACCTCGAAAAGCAGAGATGGGCCAAGAAGGTCACAAGCCAATGAGACGTTTGCCAGTTTGGGGATCCCCCTGGAAGTTTGTTTTTGGAGGTGGTGCGCGGGGCATGCGAAATTGACTACATCGCCAGGCCTTGCCTGCTTTGTGGCTTTGGTTGCTGCGTTTTGAGAAGCTCGCTCTCCAAGCTTAGAGATTGGAGCTCATCGGGTTGATCTGGCGCCAGGTTAAACATGTCAGGCACGCATCGCAGCATCGTGCAGCATCCGTCAAGCGCGGTAACAACTCAACAGTCATTCGGGTTACAGCGCTTGTGGATGTGGGTTCTGGGATGTTCTTGTCAGGATGATCAGATTCCCCAGTTCCCAATGACCAGAGATTGCAACATGCTGGTACATCCGTGTAGCATCGTAGCTGGCGTGCAACCAGGACTCTGGCGGTTTTCCGTGCCCCGAGCTGACGGCGTGTGACGCGGCGGCGTGCTGCTCAAAAGTGCGCGGGGTGCTGCTGAAAAGTTCTATCGTCTGGACTGAAATTGCCTTGCATTCCTCCACCACCACCACCACCACCACCACCACCGCCACCGCCACCGCCAGCGCCACTACCACTGTCACTGCCACTGCCACTGCCATTGAAGGACAGGCATCGTACGCAGCTGGATGGTCACAGTTTTCTGCAAGGCTGGTTGGCCTTCCGAACGAAGCATGGTGGAGCTAGAGGGCCTCAGCAACTCTCTGTGAGAGAGAGAGAGAGAGTCGTTGGTGCTCGGGGATTTTCATCTTCCACTTACATGGCGCTCGACTGCTCGACTCCCGCGTGCTCGAAGGTTCCAGTAGAGGGCGGCTTTCGCGCCTTGTGAGCTCCGTACAGGGCGGGTTCCCTTTTGTGTCACCGCTGCAAAGCTGGGGCCTCAGCGCAAAGGGGACTCGGAAGGCTTAGGAAGCCTTTGCTCTACCCGGCCGCAGCGAAGGCTCAGAAGGCCCAGAGTCGTCTCAGGCGCCTTCCATCCGAGAGCGAACCGAACTCTCCGCGCGTCCGCGCCATGCTGGTTGCAGTCCTTTGGGCGGTCTCCGCGCTCGCACCGGTGCTTGCTCTGCCCTCTGAGGCAGAGGCTCGGTGCTCGGTTTCTGCGGAGTCTTGTAGCCCTGCAAGGGACGAGGATTTGGACGAGGTGGTTGCCCTGCAGCTGAAGAGCGCGGACCAGGTGGCCGAGAGAGAGGAGGGAAGCGCAGCAGTGGAGGCGGACTTGGCCTGGAAGCGCTGGATGCCAAAGCGCTTGAAGAAGCGAACCTTTGGGCCTCTGAGGCGCCACCGCGCTGGCCGCGGCCGCGCAACCAGGTGGCCAAAAGTGCACCGCAGGGGACGGCGAGGCCGAAGCTGGTGGCGCAGGAGGGCACTCCCAAGGACGTCGACGGTCTGCTTAAGGTTCTCCTTCATCAATGCACTGAACGGCGAGGGGACCATTACAGGAGTCGTGAGGGGATTGACGTGTTCCTCTGGCTCGGAGACAACTTCGGAGGCTGAACAGGTGGAAGTCTTGTCCAATACCGAGAACTGGAACGACCCTCCAAACAGTGGAGTTGGAAACTACTTAGGAAATGGCTATGACGTGGCACGGTCGAGAGGAGACAATAGCTGGACACTTGACACAAGCTGCAACCCGACGAAATTCCGCTTTTTTGCCTTCAACAAAGAAGAGGCCAATCCTGGACCCCCTGCAGATGCGACGCTCCTTATCTCCAGCTATCCACCCAAAATGGGAGCCCTTGCACATAGGTATCCGGACCTCTACGGGAAAGACATGACGGAAGAGGATTATGATTTGACCTTCGAGCAGACGCCCTGCAACTAAAGGGCACAGGCGGAGCTGCACACCTGGGGGAGGCTTTTCCACCATGCCTCAAGGGATGTGACCTTGCGACCTCCCCTTTTCCCGTCTCCGCGGAAGGAGAGCTTTTAAGGAACAAGACGTCCACCGGATCAAAAGCAGGGGGGTTGAAAGTGTCGGCAGGGCCCAGAGCCAAGCAATCCCCGACAAAGACTTGAGAGTGGAGGAAGTGGGGCAGAAGCCTGTCTTGTGCTCGTAGCTCCTTCCAAGGAGCATTCCAGATCCCCAAAGCCATGAATTCCATGAAATCACCACCAGCCCAGCTATGGGAGGTTAGACCCAGCGCGATGGTGGAGAAAATCATGCCGGGAACCCAGAAGTGGCCATGTGTCAGACCTCGCAGGGAAGAAATTCTAGGCTTGCCAGGAGGCTTTCTCCCGCACCCTGGCCCGAGGTCCCAAGAGGCAAACTTATCGAAGCCTATTTTTTTGCCACTCCAGGTCGTCAGGATTCCGAGTTGGCGTACCGAAAGAGTTTCGTATAGATGGACAAGATCCCCGTGCCAGTAGCGTTGTGATGCTCTAGATGCTGCTGCTTTTGGTTGCTGTTGCCGCTGTATGCTGCCATCATGGTCATGTCATGAAAAACACTCGCTGCCCTTGTGCTGGGCTGCGAAAGCATTCGTGCCGAGACGAGACGAGACGGAGGATCTTCTCCCGTCGCGCACGCGTCCCCTGCGGCGGCTCCCGAAAAAACCGTGAGGCGACTACTCCGAGGTCTCCAGCCTCGATGTACAGAGAGCCACTCTCATCCTTTCTGCGGTGTCCTGCGCTGCAACAGGGCGTGTTGCGAGAGGCTCGCGAGGGGGAGAGAAGCAGGTTGGCTCAAAGAGCTCAGTTCGGCAGCCACAAACGGTGACTGTCATGCGAAAAGCCTAGGTGAATGGAATGTTGGACAGGAACCTCGGTAACACCGGTAACATGTCTGAAGGATGTCATGTGTAGAGTTGATTAAGACCATTGACTTTGTCACACTCGTTTTGTCCAGCATTCGGGGTAAAGAGAAAAGATGCAGCTTTTGTCGGGGGAAGCTCGGGGACAGCTGCGCAGCACATCCAATTGCGACTGTCAAGGTGCGATCCGTCGGCGAACTTTTTTGGCATGCTGGGGGTCAGCAGTGCCATCGTGACCTGTCTGATACGGAGTAGGCCGTGGTAGCAGCTATAGGAGGTAGTGGGTGGCGCCGGGCAATGTAGACTTGCGGAGGGTATCAGGATCCTTGCGCTTGGATGCAGTTGGCTGCCTTGTCTCCGTGAAGCCTTTATGTGCATCAAGGTCTTTGAAAGCAGCCAAAAGCGAGTGAATCCTGGGACGTAAGCTATCGGTGCATGAGAACGGTAGCAGCCCTAAAGTCTTGGCAAAGGATCAGCAGTTGTCGTTGTGAACGGGCGCCAAGATACGCGTGAGCTCCTCGCCTCCACCCGAGAACAGCCGAAACAGAGCGCGAACTCTCATGGTCACATGTGGAACAAGAACCCCTCGTTTTGGCCGCTGCTCTGTCATCTCGTTGACAAGCCTCAAGCCCCAAACCTCTGATAGACCCCAGGTCTTGGCAAACCTCGGTGCGGCCTACGGCACAGCCAAGAGTGGGGTCGGCATCGCCAACTTGGGCGCCCGGGACTTGGCAGCGAGAACTGCCCCCACAGCTGCCTCAGACTCCTCAGATACTGCCTGCATCTGCCTGCACTTCTTGGCTTTTAACCTGTGGACCCGACCCCGCCAGGTTATGCGACCAGACATGGTCATGAGGCTCTTGCGGGGAGGGCTGCTGAAAGGATGCTTGCAGTACCGGGAAAGCGGCTTGGTTCGGAGACCTCGGACGGTCCAGTCGCAGAGCTCTTTGAGTCGGAGATCGAAATGGTTCAGGTCCATCATCCCCGTGGTCATGGCAGGTGTGCCCGACACCCAGGTGCTCAGAGCCTCTTGAAGTCAAAGGACCTAGAATAAAAAGGGTAATGGAGTCATTTTACACCTTTTGTCGGAGTTTCCTTTTGGGGCCTTGTGGCCGAGACCCGAGGCTTGGCATCTACGGGCTAATCACTAGCGTGATTATCAACGGCGGGGACCCGAGCTTCTGGGGCTGGAGAGTGCGCGGGTTAGGGTTGAGTGTCTTGCGCGGGGGGGGGGGGCCCCACATCCTCTGGCCCACTTTGCGTGAACCTAGGCAACCAGATAAGTTCCTGGAGACAGGAGCTTGGGACCCTGTCTGATCCTGCGAGGCAAGATCCATGCTCCCTCCTACTCGGCCTGGGGCCTATACCATGGGGCTTTTGCATAGGCACGGGTTCTGTACTGTTGTGAGGAATGACCGACCCTCTGGAGTCGAGAGATCATTGCAGAGAGTGCCTAAGGTTTTTAGGATCCATTCGGAGCTTTTCCGCCCTCTTTTCGAGAGCTCCCAAAGTCCCAAACTGCCTGAGTCCTACTCCGGCTACGCGCACCTGGCGGCCGGGTGCCCAGTCCGTTGCTCCAGGGAACGCCCCTCCCGGAATCGGAGCTTCCCAGCCCCACCGCCTCGCGGAGTGTGAGGCAGAAGCATTCTTTTATAGAGGTTTAGGTTGGCAGTTTCTTCAAAGAGATCTTGCGGCCAAGTGCAACTTCCACATGATGTAGTCTAAGTCTGGGCGAGTCTGGGCTTTTGGACCTGTGTGTCCGGCCTTTTTGCGTCTCCTCACGCAGATACTGTACGGCTGGGCAATAGTGAATCAGCTTGCCCTTCGATCCCGATTGCGTTCCTGAAACGGTAGCCACGTCGAAGCGCTGCGGCGACTCATCGAAGGCGGCTTGGCTCACCAGCCTGGAGTTGCTTCGAAACGCCGTTTCGAAGCAGCTCTATGCTGGTGAGCTTGCCACGCTGGCCGGGCAAAGAGAGCTCCAAGCCATGCAAGAGCGAATCGAACAGTTTCAGGCACCAGCTGCGCCACAGCCCGAAGTACAGAAGGTTTTGGCCTTCCTGTCACTCGGGCTCGAAGAGCTGCAGACAGAAGCGAAGCAGGCACCCAATCATCGAGGCAATTGAACATTTGACTTCCCGCGCTGCGGACGACGAATGGCACCAGACCGAGTCAGTGGTCAAAGCCATCATGGACATTGCCGAGATGACGCGTGCCAAGCACTATAAGCACTGCCATCGGCTCGCAACGAGCTTATAGGCCAACTGCGAGTTTGCGGCCTGGACTGTGAAAATTGAGCAGAGATGTAGTGCTACGTGACTACGCGTGCATGGCGTTTTTGTGGCACGTATGTGCGTACCATGTGGACAGCCGTCAACAGTGCGCGAATGCTGAGCGCTGCGCATGACATGTTGCCCAGCTTAACGTTGGAGTATGTGGGCTTCGATCTAGAGTGGTCCGCAAGTGGTGACAGCTTGCGGGGCAACAATCTCATCTGGCCAATTCGAGTGTCCTTCATGCCAGATACTGTGTCCATCCAGTCAATTGCGTACGTTGACCCGTCGTGGGTCAACGCTCTTCGAGGTTGCAGCGGCATTCGCGAACTGAGCAAAGCTGTATCCGAATGCCTCCAGACTCAACGTTTCTCCTGGGACCTGCATCACAGGATTTACATCGTCGCAAGGGTCGCTGGAAGCCGCAAACTGATTTCAAGCCTTTCAAGCCCTCAGAATTCACTTCCTGTCAGCTGTCCCTGTTTTGGGCCTTTGGAAGGCCGGTGTGACCGTCGGCATGAGCTCGCTAGCTGCAGGCCCGCGGGAGTGACTCAGACGTGGATGGATGAGCTTCTTTCCGACCACCGACAGTCGAAAGGTATGGCGATTGGGGTAGTCGGAGATGCCGGAGTGCGAGCGAATGCCCAGGAGTCGGCACCTCAAGGAGATCCCTACTGTACCGAGTCATGTCAATGTGCGAGATAGAGAAGAAGAGACACAGAGAGAAACGAAAGACGTCCTCAAAATAGCGTGTGCTCTTTGACGGGCGGACCCGCCCGGCCAACAGTCTCGCACCCCATCAAAGCCTCCTACAAAGGGGGGGTGCCCCCATGCCCTGCCGAAGAAGAAGCAGAAGAAGAGGCGAGACTGGACACGTCACACATCCAACGTTTCGAGGCCAAGACTTTTCGTGGGCATGATTTTGATCCTGATCTTCGCCGAGGACACCCTTCTTCAACCATGGGGTTACAGCAGTTTTGAGGGATGCTTCAAGGTGATGGGATGTACCTGAGTCCCCGCCACCACCCTCCCAAACCCACAATCCGAAGCGCTGTTCGAGGCATTAGGCCTGTACGGCCTCATCGTGGGCCTGGTCGTAGCATCCACGGCCGAGGGCAAAGGGCGGGCCGCCCAGAGCTTGAGTGGAGCCTGCGCCGTGGCTTGTTGCAACCATTGCGGCAGTCGGGCCTAAACCACAAACCTAGCCAGAAGCCAGAAGCGCCAAGCCATGTCATAAGTCGAAACCTCTGAAACCTGCAAGGTTCAAGGCCTAAAGCTCTAGAGCCGGATGTTTGCGTCTGCACAGACTCAGGAGCGACCTGTGCATTCCATGGGATCAGTGAGTGGAAACGACTGCAGTTCCACAGATGGTGCCAAGGGCTTCGGGACATCTGCAGGTAAGATGCAAAAAGGTATTTTAGTTACTGTTGAACATGCACATAGCGAGTTCGAGCGTCACGTCGAAGCCAGTGCAAGGAGAAGCCAAGCTGCATCACATATCGAGATTGATTCCTTCTTCCTGTTTCTTCCTGTTGCTGATGTAGAAAGGGCTGTTCAGACAACTTCACTTCCAAGCGTAGCTGAGCATCACAGTAGCGGTTTCCATGCGGGTCGCCGAAACTCGAGGAGCCGACGGGTGTCACCGCAAGTATTGGCCCTGTCGCACTCCATGAGATCGAAGAGTTATTGCACGAGAGAGAGTGGCGCCACTCCCTCCGCAGCTGTAGTGTCGGACGGCCAGCAGCTTTGCCAAAGACTTGCAAAACACGATGGCTTCTTGGTTCGTAATCACCAAATGAGTTCGCGACTTCTATGGCAAAGGCGCTGCTCGCCGGCCTGAGACGCCTAGCTCGAAAGGCGAGCGGACGAACATCAGATCAGCACTGGTACGCTAGTAAAGAGAAGGGAAGCCACCTCGAGCCCTGAACCCTAGCTACCCTTCATCATCTGCGCAAGGGTAGTGCCTTGAAGATCGTGTTCCTGAAACCCGAGACTTCATCCAGCCTGTGCAGTGCAGTGCAGTGCACGCCCTCACAGACACAAAGACCGCGCACGCCTTCCGAGATGCCCTAACTCCGAAGTTTTGAGATCGCCCTCGAAGCGAAGCTGTCCAAACTGAGAGGCTAGGAAGGAAGCCTTCGGGCTCTCTGAAAGTCCGAAAGCTTCTCCGGCTCGGATCGCTCCCCGCCACCCGGGTCTCAAAAACGGATCTGCGGGGAGACAGGGGGGGGGGGGGCCAGGCTGAAGGGAGGGATCTCGAATCTCGACGTCTTTGCTCATCTCAGGCTCAAGTCAGGCCTTCCTCCTTCACCCTCCTTCCTCCAGGTTTTTTTCGCCAGCCGGTCAAACATGATATGGAAGGCCCTCGGGGGTGAGGCTTCCGCGCAAAAGGCTTCAAGGTGCGGGCTGAGTGGCGGTGCCCTTCTGGCCAGGACGCCCGGGATGGGCGCGGGACGCCGAGGCAGCGGTGCCCGCGATGCTTCGAGGCAGCGCCACAGAGCGGGGTCTGCCGCGCCGTCTCCGCTCCGTCCGCCGCGGCCTTCCGTGCGGAAGACGCACGCGTGCATCGCACATGGCTTTTCCCATGGGGCTCTCCTCTCTCTTTTGAGGGTGTTGTGTCGGTCTGTGCAGAGGCGTCTGGCCGGAGGAGCTGCTCGAGGCCGCAGCTCCCCCCCGATAGAGTTTTCCGTGCTGATGGATCCATGGGGAAGATGCATATAGTATATAGCTTATGCATAGCTTATGCATGCATGCAACGTATCTAACGTATGTGCCAATGAGTGATGCGTTTACACGCATCAGCATCTAAGATCATTTCGCCGTATTCGCGGACGCTGCGCCCAACGCCGAAAACTGCGAGCGGGGTCGATGTTCCAAATCAGATTGTGCACATGAAATGTCTGGTGCCATGCGAAAGGTTCATGAACCTGCATGAATCTGCGCTAGCGCAACATCAGCCAAGACTTGAGGACGCCTGCAGCCTGTAGACGACATCAGCCTTGCGAAGGATCCAGCCAGACGACCGCGGTATGTCGCGACGGCCGAGGAATTCTTGTCGGAGCTCTTGACGGGGGAGCACGTAGAGGACGGAAGATGAAGGAACGCCGCTTCACGGCTGTCGCTCCGTTTCACCTACACGCCGTGGCATGTGTACGCTGCCGCAGAGGATTTCATCATCTTGCCGAACGGGACGGAGCTCCTAGGTTTGAGCTACGAGGACAGCCCAATCCCCTGCAGTTGGTCTGACAGTACCATGCAGCGAGGACACGATTCCAGAAGATGTTCGGCTTTGCATGCAAGATTGCCGAACCCTCGGTCAAAAGCGCGCGAAGCGGGCGGACGCAAAGTGTCAAGTCACAGGTCGCGCTGCGCAAGATTTCGTGAAGAAGCTGCTGCAAAATCCGGAGGCCCAGATGCGGCAAGAGCAACCGTGCCAGCCCTCTGCCTTGCCAGCATTTTAGAGTCGCGCCCAGATGTTGGAGAAGTATCGCGCTGACGTGGAATACGTGGATTCCAAGCGCAAGGGCCCGAGGGAAGCTGTTGCAAGTCACCCCAAGCCCGAAACTCCCTAAACCTCTAAAGCTAAACCTCAGCCCGTAGCCACAGCTTGCAAAGGTCAGCAGCGGGACACTTTGCGGAAGGACAAGCTTGACCTAGGGAAGCGGATCCGCGAAGCACTGAGGATGGTAGAGGCCGGGGATCCATTGATCAGCACACGAATGTACCAGTAGCAACCATTCTAAGGCCCTCACCCTAATTAAACCCTAAACCTGGAAGCAAAACCCAAAACCCCAAGAATGCTCCGCAACACCCCTCTCTTTCCAGCAGGCCGGAGAGGTTGACGCTGAGCTTCTGTATGTGGCCGAGATGAGGCGGCGTAGCTTGCCATCCCAAAGCGGCGCCAGGGTCGGTTTTGGAGGGTACGCCCGTTAAGGCGGTTTGGGAGTTTCTGAAAATTAGGGGTACCTTATTTTGGGGTCCTCATAATAAGGATCCTATTATTTGGGGTACTATATTAGGGCCCCCTATTTTCGGAAACCCCCGTTTGGGGTTTTAAGGTTTCAGGGGTTTTAGTGTCTAGGGCTCAGGGTTTGGACTTTAGGTTAGCCTTGGAGTTGTCAGGTTGAGACCGGTGGCATGTGTTTAGTGTTGCAACATAGCATCATCCAATATTGCTGCGGACGTAGAACTTGAATCAAGTGCACTGATTGACAATGGCTGCATGCTGTTCGGGTGAATTAAGCACCTTGCGCGAGTCCCTTTGAGAAAACTGAGCATCGTCAACGTCGAGCTTGTGGATAAGCAGGCATATATGGACTAGAATGACTAGAACAAAATCATGATGAGACCTTGGAAGCTGCTGGCCCAACGGGTCGTTGCCATCAGACTTGCCTTGAGCTTGGCTCCGTTTTTGGTGGCCGGTAGCCGCAAGTTCAGGCGGATCCGGCCGTCATGGCTTTCGACCTGCGGCATCGATACCGTCGCTGCTTCCACCGGATCCGTCGCCGCATCCGTCTGCTGCATCTCTCGCCCTTCGCCGTCTCGAACGATTCGACCGCACGCAGCGTGAAGCGGAACGACGCCTCATGGTTCGGGAGACGGGTCACCGTCAATTGGGCTCCCTGATGCTCCCTGATGCTCCCTGCGACTCGCCATCCGCCATCCGCCATGGCACAGCAAGCCAACCTCGCGCCAGGGCACTGAATCATTGGATGTAATGTAGGAGAGGCGGCTCACCAACACTGCATGCTTGCTTGGTTTTCGCCCTCAGAACGTGTAGCAGTGTGACACTGGGCATCGCAAGAAAACGGAGCAGCCACCGTCCGGCCAAACTGCTCACCTGCGCCGATGGACTAGCCGGTCGGTGGAATGCGGCAGATGACCCCACCCAAGGTTACATCCTCT